AGAAAGGATTAAAAGAAAATTAAGAAAGTTTAAACAATTTTACAAAAGTAGACAAAATTTTATTCAAATCATTATCTATTATTAATAATGAAACAATATAAAAGGATTATAATTATAATTTTAATGAAAAACTTTTTGCACCGTTGTGTAAGGAGTTTTACAAAACGGGCACTTTTTTGTTGGAGTATTTTTATAAATATTCCAGCATCTTTCGCAAATTTTAAAATGTCCGCATGGCATTTTGAAACTTTGATTTCTGAAAAAATTTAATATTTAATTAATAATTAAATTATTCGATACAATTCAATTATTTTTATAAGAAGTCAAATTTATCGCAAGAATTAAATTATTTTTTTATAAATAATAAAATTCTCCTCAGAAATTTAATTAATTTCAATTATAGCTGTGCAAAATAATTCGAACCGAACTGTTCGAATTTTTTCGCCTAGGTCGAATATTCGACATTCGAGTTAGCTTAGTTCTAATGTCGAAAATTCGCCATTCGAACTAGCCCAGTTCGGATATCGAATATTCGACATTCGACATTTCGGCGTCCAAAACCGAATAAAACTCTGTTTGGTTCGAATTTTGCACAGCTCTAATTTCAATGTAATTTTAATAAACTTAAAAAATTAAATATTTGATTACAATTATTAACAGACACAATTTATTTTAAAAAGTTGCATTTGTTGGACGTTATATTCCACTCATTTATTTATGCCATGCGGACATTTTAAAATTTGCGAAAGATGCTGGAATATTTATAAAAATACTCCAACAAAAAAGTGCCCGTTTTGTAAAACTCCTTACACAACGGTGCAAAAAGTTTTTCATTAAAATTATAATTATAATCCTTTTATATTGTTTCATTATTAATAATAGATAATGATTTGAATAAAATTTTGTCTACTTTTGTAAAATTGTTTAAACTTTCTTAATTTTCTTTTAATCCTTTCTTAAAAAAGATATTGCGACAACAAGTCGAGTATTATCGAATAATATCCAAATAAGAAAGAAGCATTAATAATATTGAAAATCATTAACAAAGGTACACAAAAAAATAAAAGTGGCCTGTTTATTAAATCAGATCTACATGTCTTGTAGTATTTTTACCCGCTGAAAACGAATATGAAGTCAGAATTGCTTCATCACCTTGTATTTGTTTTCAAATCGAAAAAACTATCATTAAATCTACAAATTATTTCCGGTCGGATAAACGTCAGTAGAGTCAGGGAGATGTCAGGGAAACAAATTTTTTGTCAGTAAAATCTAGAAAATTTCATGACAAAAATTTTTTGTCAGGGAAATTAAGAAAATTGATACTTTTTTTCAATATTTTCAGTGTTTTCAATAACATATTTCCAAAAATTCAAATACATACAAAAATAATAATATTTTAGAATTATTTTTCAACATTTTGGGGAAAACAATCATGTTCAAAATTTTTAATTCAAATTCATCAAAAATTTAATTAGTTTTTTTTAAATTATACAAAAATTCTTTTGAGTAATTCAATTAGTTTCAGAAAATTAATTATTTGACTAATTATTGGAATTATTTTATAATAATTTTTAAATTTTAATTACCTTTGAACAATGTAAATAAAAATTTATTTGTATTCCTAGGAAGAATGTTGTATTTTACGAAAATAATTGTATTCTATGACCAATTTTATTTTCATTTTTCAAATTTATAAAAGCATTTTATCAAATTTTTTTTTAAATAATTGAATTCTCAAGAAAAATTTTATTAGTTATGAAAATAATTGATTTCAAGAGAAGAAGTTTATTCAACTTTTTTATTAATAATTAAATTCTGAAGAAGAATTGTATATTTAAGATAATTGAATTGTATATAGGAGAACTTTAAATTAACTAAATCTTGTAAAAAATTTTGTCAAAATTTTTCAAAATAATAGAACTTTTAAAATAATTTTATTTAAATTTTTCGAAATAAATGAATTTCTCAGAACTATTTTTTCAATTCTCTGAATATATTTGAATTCTTTGGAGAAACTTCATTAAAAAAATAAAAATAATTGAATTGATATACGAAGAAATTTATAAAAATTTGGTAAGTATTTGAGTTCCTGTTAAATTTTTATTAAAATTTTGTTCAAGTAATGGAATTCTTTTGGAAAATTTTATTAAAATAGTAAATATTAAAAATAATGGAAATGAGGAAAATTTTTGAAAATAATTGAATAATTGATATTTTCTAAAATTTCAAATTGAAACCTTTGAAGTTTATCTATTTATAAAGTTGTGAACGCAACTCTTTTGAAATCTAATTAATTTTGATATTTTTAAGTAAACTTATTACTTATAAATTATTTAATGAATAATAATTGATAGTTCTTCAAGAATGAAGTTACATAAAAAGAAATTATTGTTAGAAATAGAAAAAATTGAAGGGTTTGTATTAGAATTCTTGTCAACTTCATAGTTTATGAGGCAAACAAAAAAGACCCAAAAATTCCGAATTTTTTAATAAATTCTAAAAATTTAATTTTTTCCAGTACTTTTATTAAAAATTCTTGACTTTTCCCTGTCTTACCCTGACTTGTGGCAACCCCGCATTAATTGGTTAACAAGTAAAAGTTATAATTCGGACAAATATAAACTTGAATTGCGTAACTTTTTTCATCGAAGATATTTTTGTTGCGATTTAATATTGTCTAAAGAAAAAAAAAGTTTACCCAAAGTTCGCTCAAAAATCACTCGTTCTGTTTAAATTAACCATTTTTAGTCGCTAGAAAACTCTGAAAATATTTGACAAAAAAATTGTGTCAAATTGACATTATGATGTCACATATATAATATTAAAAGCATTTTAATATAGTTTTATTATACACAAACATAAAATTTTACGAGGCAAAAAATATAAAGTTAAATAATAGCATTCAATTATTATCTGGAAAATATTATATTTTTCATATAGTATTAGAATTTTTCATTAAAAACTAATATTTTGTAAATTGTGTATATACTGTCAAGATCAAAAAATTGCTACAGCATATGTTTCTTTAAATACAGTAAATACTACTTCTGGCTCCATCTAACATGTGTACGAAGAATCTTGTACACTGTTGGGACAAATGGTAAATGAAGTTAAGGCCTAACAGTAACATAGAAAGGAAACTCGCTGCTCAAAAAAAATTCTAACAAATGAACATTCTAACACTTGGGGAATCTAACAAATAAACGTTCTAACTTTTGGACAATCTAACAAATAAACATTCTAACTTTTAATAATTCTAACAAATAAACATTCTAACTTTTGGAAATTCTAACAAATAAATATTCTAACTTTAAGAAATTCTAACAAATAAACATTCTAACTTTTAATAATTCTAACAAATAAACATTCTAACTTTTGGTAATTCTAACAAATAAACATTCGAACTTTTAGAAATTCTAACAAATAAATATTCTAACTTTTGGCTATTCTAACAAATAAACATTCTAACTTTTGGAAATTCTAACAAATAAACATTCTAACTTCTGGCTATTCGAACAAATAAACATTCTAACTTTTGGACAATCTAACAAATAAACATTCTAACTTTTAATAATTCTAACAAATAAATATTCTAACTTTTAGAAATTCTAACAAATAAACATTCTAACTTTTAATAATTCTAACAAATAAACATTCTAACTTTTGGTAATTCTAACAAATAAACATTCGAACTTTTAGAAATTCTAACAAATAAATATTCTAACTTTTGGCTATTCTAACAAATAAACATTCTAACTTTTAGAAATTCTAACAAATAAACATTCTAACTTTTAATAATTCTAACAAATAAACATTCTAACTTTTGGTAATTCTAACAAATAAACATTCTAACTTTTAATAATTCTAACAAATAAACATTCTAACTTTTGGAAATTCTAACAAATAAATATTCTAACTTTTAGAAATTCTAACAAATAAACATTCTAACTTTTAATAATTCTAACAAATAAACATTCTAACTTTTGGTAATTCTAACAAATAAACATTCTAACTTTTGGAAATTCTAACAAATAAACATTCTAACTTTTGGAAATTCTAACAAATAAACATTCTAACTTTTGAAATTCTAACAAATGGTTTTTCTAACTTTTAGAATTTAGGCCAAAATAAGGCGTCTCCATGGAATTACCACCTCAGTTGCATGAAACATATACTAAAATAGCATGGATCTCTTTTGCAATCGTAGTATACTGACGTCTCATGCGTTTAAAGGTAGAACTTTTATGCTGATAACGTAGAAATTGATACAAATACAGCAGAAATTTTACGCCTATTGCGCATGTGCATTCTTTTACTAAATAAGGTTAACTGTCCATACTAAAAACGCTTTATTTTTCTCTCCGTGTATATAGAATTTTCATATGTAGAATGGTTATGCTTAATCCAAAAAAGTATTTCTCGGGGACTCTTGTCGAAGTGCGTAAGGCCAACAGGGCAGGAGTAGAAACAAAAAAAAAAAAACAAAACAAAAAAAAACAAAAAAAACATATTTTACATTGACCTTTTTGACACTTTAATATTCATGATAATTTTTTGAATTTTTTTAATCCTACTTTTACGGTTTCAAATTTTTTTGAAAAAATTTATTTCACAATACCAGTTAATAATTTAGATTCTACATTAAATAGAGATTAAAACAAGACCAAGAGCGCTAATAAAAGTTAATTAGTTTTCGAGAAATTAAAAAATTACGAAAAGCATGCAAAATCCAGTATTTTTTCTGCATCTAACAGAATAGCCAACAAAAATTCTTCGATCAGGTGTCAGTCTTTTCATAATTTTATTAGCTTTCAGGAAAAAAATACGAAAAATTTTCGTCATTCTTATTTTCTACGTTTTAAGCATTTTTCCACTCATGAAAAAAGGGGCGTCCTGATACTCACGGACGGTAGTGTATATATAAAAATCATGACAAATTTTTATAATAGTTTTAAGTTATTCTTATATAAAGATAAGAAAATTCTTTTTCTATTTTTCAGATTAGGGTTTTAGGGAGTCTTGAACTATGCGTATGCAGGGAGAGCAAATAAACTTTAAATATTTTTTACAAAATAATAATTATTGAAAAAGTAATGCATCAAGAAAAAGAAATTTTATTTATTATTAGCATCAAGTGGGGTAAATGAAAACGTAATTATTTTATAATTTAATTTTAAATTTAAAAAATAAATACGACATTTTTCTAAAACGAATTTAATTTTTTCAATACATTTTATTACTGTGAAAATGATAACAATAAAAAATTAATAATTTTATATTTTCGGAGAGGAAATTTTTGTGAAATGTCTTAAACGGACGGCAAGGCGCAGGAATTTGGCGAGTCCTATATGGAAAGCGCGGTTTTCCAAGGGATGGCTTGGGCAGTTGCTGTTTTGGGTCCAAAGTGTAAAGATGCACTTTATCTGTTTGAGAATTCGGCATCTCAGAATATCATATTTAATTGTTGGCGATTCGTGTATCCTGAGACCGCAGCTTCGAGAAATAAATTAATTGTTTATTTAAAAGCTGTGTTTGATTTATTTATTAAATCGGTATTATTATTATTTATTTATTGTGGTAAAAACACTTTACCACAATATACAATTTATATTATTACAAATAAAATTTATAACATAACATTTTATACTGAAAAGAAAATTTTAATAAATCGTTTTTCATTTCGTTTGCTATTTGTTAATTTTTTTATTAATATATATATATATATATATATATATATATGGGACATTCCACGTCAACACAGACAGAGCTCTAAACAAAAATTGCTTTGATGGATTTAAACGTTCTAGGGCTTAAAAGATTTCTACGTTCATGTACTTTAAGATGCCGATGGGCGTTTTTTGAGAAATTCCATTTCCGATGCTAATAGAACTGTCAAAAGTCAAAAGGTCCAAAAATCTCAAAATACTTTTATGAATTAAAAGCAAAAAACGAGGTAAATAATTCTGTAACTCATTCTTTATCAGTTTTTAGGGTTCCCGAATATAAATCTAAAGTTTTTTTTAAAAATCCAAAATGGCGAATTCAATATGGCGGACAAAATTCAAATTTGATCAGATTCGATTAAAACTTGTTACTCGGGGGTTTTTAGGGTCGCTGATTACGAATCTGAAGTCACTTTTTAAAAATTCAAAATGGCGGATCCAATATGGCAGAAAAAATTTTCAAATTTGATCCGATTCCCTTAGAACGTGTTACTCGGGGGCTTTTGGGGTCGCAGATTATGAATATGAAGTTACTTTGTTTTTTGCTTTTAATTCATAAAAGTATTTTGAGATTTTTGGACCTTTTGACTTTTGACAGTTCTATTGGCATCGGAAATTGAATTTTGCAAAAAACGCCCATCGGCATCTTAAAGTACATGAACGTAGAAATCTTTTAAGCCCTAGAACGTTTAAATCCATCAAAGCAATTTTTGTTTAGAGCTCTGTCCGTGTTGACGTGGAATGTCCCATATATATATATATATATATATATATATATATATATATATATATATATATGAATTGTACATTGATATTAAACATTGAAGTCAATATAAAAATTGATGTTTTATACTTATCGCAATGTTCTTAATTGATTTGCACTAAAGCACTGGTATTACATTTATGAATTTTCACTGCACTTTTATTTATTATACTTTAGAGGGAAATGGAATATTTCAACAATAGAATATTACTTTTTTTCTTCTAATAAAAAATAAAATAACTATCTTTCCACTACTAGAATAAGTTTACAAAAATCTACTTTTATTTTTTGAGACTTCATATTTGAGTCAAAGGGAATAAAGAGAAGTGGAGTTGGAGAAGAGAGACATGACTATATCATTTAAACGGCGTTTATTAGAAAGCAATTCTCATAAATTCGCTCTTCACAGATGCAGTACAGTAGTACCAGAGTACAGTATACATAGCATATTCAGGGCCGTGACTAAAGAAATTCTTATATGTATCACGAAAAAAGAAAAATTTTAAATATGAAAGTCATTTAAAGAAAAAGTTAGTTAAAATTATTTAAAATATTAAAAATGAAAAAATTATTAACAAATTAACTTTTCATAAAGATTCATTATTATTTGTAAAAGTTAATTAATAACTGTAAGTATTAAAAAAGTTAGTTTAAAATTAAAGTGATGAAAACATAAAAATATTTTTTGAAAATTCTAATTTTCATTTGACTGTAGATATTATCAGAATTATATGTATGCCCCAGTAGCACGTAATATTACAGCAATATTAAGAACACTGCCTTAGCATTACCAATATTGCCTCAATGTTGTCAATGTTACTGGAACATTACGTGCTACTGGGGTATGATAACATGCGAATAAAAATCTCACTTTCATATTGATTGAAATTAGATAACAAAATTTTCAATTAATATTCATTGTTCTGTCTGTTCCCAATGATATATTTCAAGTTTCTTTTCCTTCTTGAATCATATTTTAAGAAGAATATATCTGAAAAATAAAGAACTTATATAAAATTTACATACAATGAAAAAATATAATTTAAAAATAGTAATTAAAACAATTACTATAAAAAATTTATTTGACTACTCACTATTCTTAACATTGAAGTTCATAATCGTCGCGCTTGATACGCAAATTCGCTTATACTAACAAATAATAAGTCTCTTTGTGTCTAATCATCTCGTTTCCTATCAGTTAATTACAAACACTGCGCTCATCGTGGTCCAGAATATTTATTTCCATCTAGGATTTAATTAAATTACAGTTTCTTACTTAATAAATTTAAAAAACAATGCATTTTTTACTTGTAAAATTGAAATACAGCATATTTGTGTTTTTAATTGCAGGAATAATATTATTTATATCTTTGCAAGCACAAGCTTTTGCCGAGATGCGCAAATGTAGGTGCCTTGAAAAGATTAAAAAGTAAAAAAAAAGTAAATAGAAATTTATATTTATGCATTTTTTTCGTTTAGTGAAATTCTGTTTAGTGAATGAGGAAAGTAATAAAAAGCTCATTTCCACAACGTGTCCGAATCTAGTCAAATTAGAAAGCAATCTGGAATGTATAATCTCCACTGATAGGTAAATATTTAAAATAGTATTTTTGCGTTTTATATTCAATTGATTTTCTTGAATTTAATTAAAAATTAAAGAGAAGAAAATAAATTTTAGAGAAATGCTTTAAAATGATTTAATTGTTTTTTATGATGAGAAGGTAAAAATTTCTAAGGGGTATGTCTAATTTGATTTTTATCCAAAGAATATCATGCCTGAAGCTTCTAATAAATAATCAAGCAGATTTTATGACTGTGGAACCAGAAGATCTTAGAATTATTGGAATGACTGATGATTATAATGATAAAATTCTTGTAACACACGAATTACGTGTTTGGATAAATGGTAAAATTTTAATCATTTCTCTTCTTTACTTTTCTTTCATTAAAACAAGTTATAAAATATAATTCTAAAATAAATAAAAATAAAATAATAATAATAAATTAAATTAAATAACACTTCTGTCGGTTTTAATATGTATATGTTTTTAAAACGCTTATTTTGAAATAAGAGTAATAAAGAGTCTTGAACTTCTATTGCTTTATAATTACATATTCAAAAAAATTTTAATTCTCTTCTTGTAATATGTAACAAAATTCAAAAGGAATTTTTACAATACTATAATACATTTTTACACTTTCCTTCATTTTTTTATAAATTTTATGTCAATTTGATGAAAATTGAAATTATTTAATAAAAAAAACTGGATAAAATCTAATATAAATCAAATAAATAAAAACAAATGTGTTTAAAATACAACCGAATGAGCATTAGAGTGAGGTGTACGACGCTATACTAATCATATATTAATTTTATTACAACTAATTAACACTTTAAACAAAATCGTTAAATTTCCATCAATTTTTTGAAAATTTTTGATCATTGATCATGATAGTAAAAATTGACGTCAAATTGATGATTGACGATTTCTCTTGGGGCATACCTATTCTGAAAATAGAAATTTGTATTTTCAGAAATTACATATAAAAATAATATGTAAAATGCGACCTAAAAAGTTGGTATGGAGACAAAAGTTTCAAAACGAAAGTTCCAATTCCGAAGGGCCCAAATTATTATTTTCCCAAATGACATTTTTTCCAAAGTATTATTTTCCCAAAGGGCATTTTTACCAAAGTATTATTTTTCCAATAGTTGTTTTTTCCAAACTTTGTTTTTTTTATTTTTCAAATTTCAATGTGCAACTTCAATTGAGGAAACTTTCATTTGTTGTTATTATCGTTGTTATTTCCCTAAATTGACATTCGACGTGCGGGTCATTCCTGGTCATTCCAAAATTATGTAGTGAAATTAAAAATTGTATTTAAATTAAAAAAATAGTTAACAGTGAAATTATTATTTTAATTTTTTTGAGAAATTTTACGTCCGAGAATGATTTTATTTTCAATAGAAATGACACATTCAGAAAACAATGTTACTTTAATTTTTTAAAAGTAACATTGTCCGAATGTGTAGTTTTTATTGAATCAGTGAAATTATATTAAATTGTAAATTTTAATTATGGCAGAATTAATGCAACATGGAAAAAAAATTTTTACTTTCAATATACTCAATACTTTTCACTTACATTACAATTCAACACTTTTTATTTTGGAAATTTCATATTTTGAATATTTTGGGCTTTGGAACTTTTGTACTGTGGAAAAATAAATATATTTTTGATCATTTGATTTTGGAACTTTTCGATTGGAACTTCCGTTTTGGAGCTTTTGTACCCCAATCAAAAAGTTTATTAATAAATATGTATGTACTTTCAGAATAGTATAATGTACGCCCTGATTTTCTTTAACCTGACTCATTAAAAATCCTGTTCGCTTTAGCGGACTCCTCCAGACAGTCCGCTAAATCGGCGTTCGAGTGTAGTTGATTTGTTTCTAACTCATTTTTATTGTTTAATTAGAAAGTTCCAATTATCAAATGGTCACTGTAATTCGTAAAACTGTGCATGATGTATGGCACATTGCGAAAAAACGTTTTTGCACTTCTGGACTTGAATCAAGTCTTTTTGCGCTTGATTATCTAAAAGTTGGTAATATATAATTAATATGAATATATAGAATATAAATATAAACTAAAAAAAGCTTTAATTAAAATAACTATTTTTTTCTACAAGTATTTTGAAAATCAGCTTGTCATTCCTCGTTGCAATTCCTCGAAAAGTTTATTAGAAAACAGATTGACAGCTCTATCTGAATTTTTCGAGTCGGCCTGCATCAGTGGTCGATGGACAAGTGATCAGCAATATGACAATCAATTAAGTAAATTATTATATTAAAGAATTGTTAATTTTTATTATGTTCATAGCTCCTCATTGGTTATTTATGATATAATTAAACAATCTCTTTAAAATTTTTTTAAAATTCTTTTATAATTGAGGCCTTGGATCCAATAACTCGCCCGACGCTCGAAGGCACGCGCTAATACCAGTCGGGTAGCAGTGAGTGGCCCAGAGGCGCTCACTGCTCACTGACTGGCAGTTGCGCGTTCCTCCAAGCGTCGGGCGAGTTATTGGATCCAAGGCCTCAATTAATTTTTTTTTACAGAGAGGAAATATAGTAATTTGTCCTCTCAATGTGGAAGTTTTTTTCAATATTATGGAGATGAAGGTGTTTTAATGTGTCTAACTGATGGCGGTGGAGAAATTGCCTGGTCAAGATTAGATTACGTTCATCGACACTTTAAAGTAATATGTATTCTGTTATTTAAATAATTAAAAAATTCAACTATGTACTTATAATTTTGTTTAAATAACCCTTTTCAGGAATTTCGCGACGATGCAAATGAATATTATTTTCTGTGCCTGGATGGTTCGTTAAAAAATTTAACAGATCCTAATCCTTGCGTTTGGTTCGAAGTTCCTTGGAGAACATTAATCGCCAGGGAGTACGTACATTTTTTTAATCTGCATAGCAAATAAATAAAATTATGTAATAATAATATATTTATTATTTATTTTAAATAATTTATTTAAGAATTACAAAAATTTTAAACGCTTTCTTAAGACTTTTCTTACGAATTAAAAATTTTAAAAAACATTTATTTTGTTTGATTTAGAAAAAAATTTGTTTGGTTTAAAATTTTTTCTAAAAAAAAACTGAGAATTTTATTTACAGCGACATTGCTGAAGAAGTAAAAAATTTAATCGAATATCAATTAAATGGAGTCGATGATTCTCTGTCCGTTCTTCAAGAAGATATTCGAAGGGAGCCAATAATGGCTAATTCTTCAAAAACACCAAAAGAATATTTGAAAAAATTATGTAAGAATATTAATGATTAATGTTTTTATTGTTATATTAGAATTTATGTCTTATACACTACCGAAAAAATTGTGCGACCGCGCACTATGCGTCGTCATATTAAGATAGATAACAGAGCCACACAAAAAAAAGTTCTGATCTGGGGGTCTTACTATGTAGACTTTATGTTTTTTTAATCGCTGAATCCGAATCCAAGGTCCATTTAACCTCATCAGATCAGGATCATCAGGATTTTGACATAACCTCAAAAAACCAATATGGCGGACACATTTTTGAAAAGTTCATTGGATTCGCTTGAAAATCGTTACTCAGGGGTTTTTGAGGTCGCTAATTACGAATATGGAATCAGATTTTTAAAATTCAAAATAGCGGATCCAATATGGCGGACACGTTTTTGAAAAATTCATCGGATTCGCTTGAAATTCGTTACTCTGGGGTTTTTGGGGTCGCTGATTACGAATCTGATGTCGGTTTTTCAAAATTCAAAATGGCGGATCCAATATGGCTGACACAGACATATTGGATCCGCCATTTTGAATTTTTGAAATCTGACTTCAAATTCGTAATCAGCGACTCCAAAAACTCCAGAGTAACGAATTTCAAGCGAACCCGATGAATTTTTCAAAAACGTGTCCGCCATAATGGATCCGCCATTTTGAATTTTTGAAATCAGACTTAAAATTCGTAATCAGCGACCCGAAAAACCCTCGAGTAACGAATTTCAAGCGAATCCAATGAACTTTTCAAAAATGTGTCCGCCATATTGGTTTTTTGAGGTTATGTCAAAATCCTGATCTGATGGGGTTAAATAAACCTCGGATTCGGATTCAGCGACCCAAAAAACATAAAGTCTACATAGTGAGACCCCTAGATCAGAACTTTTTTTTGTGTGGCTGGTAATTGTTTTTTTTAAATTTTTTCCATTATCTTCCAAAAATCGAAAAAAATTTCGAAAAAAAATGTTACGGCCAAAGTTATTCAAGGTCAAAGTTATTTGTAGCGTTTTAGTAAATAGCTAATTACTCGCGATCGGATGAACCGATTTTAATAGACGTTGGAGGAGAGATTACCTGAGAAATTGTACTTTAGATAAATGATCAAAATTTTAATTAAAAATATAATTTGTAAATAAATAATAATAATAATAATAATAATATTATTATGTGGTCAGATTAATTAGTCGCTACTCAAAGTGATAGCACGTTTGTCTTCCAATAAGGCTTAGTGAAGAATTGGAAGGATTGATTATCTCCAAGTTTTTGTACTTTTACTTGTTAAATAAATAAAGTAGAGTTGGCTCTCAGTTGAGTAACCAACTCACCAAAAATAATAATATTAGTTCCCACACAGCACCGAAACTGTCCTAAAAATTTATTAAAGATTTACTTGCAAACTTCGAAGTATTTACTTGAAAAGTTTAGTGAAAATTTTGTAAAGATTTAAATGTCCTACTTCAATAAATGTTTAGCGTGAAACTTTCCTGAAAATTTAAAAAAAATTTCGCCTACTGTATATAGGCGAAAATTTAATTTAAATTTTCAGGAAAGTTTTAAGTTACATTTTCGCTTATAAGAGAGAAGTTGAAAATTTAATTTAAATGTTCAGGAAAGTTTTAAGTTAAATTTTTAGGAAAATTTGACTATAAACATTTATTTAAGTGGGACATTTAAATCTTTACACAATTTTCACTAAACTTTGCAAGTAAATCTTTTTTATCCCACATGCACAAAAATGGCACTTTTAGATAGCTGACGATAGGGAGTAAAGTCACTCATTTGTTCGACCGTATAAAAATGGCGACCTTTTTTTCCCAAGGGCAAAAAAACAGCTGGTCTCATGCATCTCAGGTAATCCCTCCTCCAGTTTTTATTAAAATCGGTTCATTCGATCGCAAGTATAATTAGCTATTTACTAAAACGCAACAAATAACTTTGACCTTGAATAACTTTGGTAAATATTCGAATTTCGGAAAACTATTTACAGGTTTTTACCATCATAGGCTATCGAAACATATGTATAACAATGAGTAAAATTCACAGACCCAATAAAAAATAGGGGTCCACGTCAGGAATTCTTACCCACTTTATGTTTATATTATTATTCGTGAGAGCAATTATTACAAAATGCGAGACTCAATCTATTGTGAACGAAATAATATTACAATTTGCGAGACATTTTATTTATAACTAGTCGGTACATTTCGATTAAAATGAATTTAAATTAAATTAAAAAAAATTGGACAAGTGCGAGTTGTACTCGCACTGCAATGGCGGGTTCCGCACACAAATATTAAAACAATACTTGTAACATTGATCGGTAATTAGTAGAATTAAAATAAACAATTATAAAAATATATTAAAATCATTTGATAAAAAAAAATAACTAAAAAAAGTTAAATTATTGTATATCTAATATTGTAAACAATAATAAGCAGAGGAACTATAATAAATTTTGAAAATTTTGTTCCTCTGCTTATTATTGTTTACAATATTAGATATATACAATACTTTAATTTTTTTTAGTTATTTTTTTTTATCAAATGATTTTAATATATTTTTATAATTGTTTATTTTAATTCTACCAATTACCGATCAATGTTACAAGTATTGTTTTAATATTTGTGTGCGGAACCCGCCATTGCAGTGCAAGTACAACTCGCACTTGTCCAATTTTTTTTTTTATTTTTAGTTAAGAAATTAAAGTCAGAAAACAACCTCTCATTTATTCTCTTAAAATTTCACTCTCTTCCTTAAAATATTTAATGCCACGTGTTTAAACTAAAAAAAATTAAAAAAATTTTTTTTTTTTGAAAAAAAAAATTAAAAAAAATTTTTTTTTGATTTTTTTTCAAAAAGTTTCTTAAATAAATTTTTTGTCGTCAGACTGTAATAATACACTAGGATACCAATTTTCAGCTCATTAGGTCAAATAATGTAAAAGTTAGGGAAAAAAAATTTTTTTTTTTAAATTTTTTAGTTTTTCCTTGACAACGCTATGGCCATCATTACATATCAAGTTCTCTATATTTTTCCTGTAATATTCGAGTAAAAATACACCAGCATGCAAAATTTCAGCTCTCCATGTCGAATAGTTTAGAAGTTAAGGGGGGGGGGAATGGTTACTTTTTATGCATTTTTGGCCAAAAATCTTGTTATTTCCTTGACAACGCTATGCCCATCATCTCCAAACACATTCGCTATATTTTTCCTGTAATCTACGTGTGAAAATACATATCTGTACCAAATTTGAGCTCTTTAGGTCAAATAGTTTAGCCGCTAGGGGGGGGGACACGATTTGGCTACGGACAACAGAGTCTCACCAATAGGGTTCCGCCGATACACCGTAGGTGTACGGAACCCTAAAAATTAATTATTAATATTGCCCAAACTGAACTGGGCATTGTCGACATTGCCCGAAAAGACTTCATAATATAAATTATTTCGGACATTGACAGAAATTGACGGTCATTGTCAGACATTGCCCGATTCCGGACATTGACCGTAACATATATATTAATGATAATAATAAACATTGTGCATTTAAATATTTTTAGTTCCCGAGTTTTATGCCATTAAAGATTATGTGCAATGTAGAAATAATAGACTCGTAAAATGGTGTGTGGTTACAAATTTAGAGATAGAAAAATGTGAATGGATTTCAAAAATTGGAAAAAATTATGGCATTGAACCTTTCATTAAATGTGTTCATAAAATTAATCGTGAAAATTGTATCAAGTCAGTTATTGATAAACAATTTGATATTTTTTCTGTAAAACCACACGAGGAACAAGAAGCAAGAGAGTATGTTAAAATTATAAAGATAATTTCAAAATTATTATAAATTTATTGCATAACGACCCCGCGATAAGGTCCTAGTCGATTTTCTTATATATAAATTTTGAATTTGAAGTTTGTATTCAGTCTAAAGGAAACTATTAAAAATTCAAAAACTTGTAGGAAAATCGACTGGGAACCAAAATTAATGTATTTTCTGCAGGGTCCTTTATTTTAACTTTCAACGAGCAAGCTTTATAAGAAAAATTCATAAAAATACTATTTTACAGAAAGGGTCTAAAACCAATCGTTCATATGATTTCCAGTGAAGAAAAATATGAAAACAAAATTGTCTCACTTGTAAAGACATTCTCGAATTTTCACTCACTGCGAGATTTGAAAAATCATAAAGCATGTTTTATAAATTTCAGAGACGTTGGTGAGAGAATTTAATTATTTGTTTTATTTCACAATTTGGTTTATTTTTATTTCCTTTTTATTTAATTATTTATTATTTAGTTTTTATATAATTTTAATTCAATCCTAAAGAATTTATTCAACCTTATTGATATCAATAATTTTTTAATAATGCAATTCCAATGTTTCTCTTATTAAATGAAAAATAATGAAATTCTTTATTTATAGGATGGAACACTTTTATTTTTATGATGAAAAATTTGACTGGCGACAATAATTGGTACTGTAGGGACAAGGAAATGGTTTCAGAATATTTTCATGAAGTCAGCATTTCTGATTTAAATATAAAAAATAATAATAGTAGTTTTCCAAAAAATTTTGTTTCTTACATTTCATGTAATAAGAAATACTTTCGTTTATATATAACCATCTATTCTGTTTTGAAAAAAAGGAGAATAAACAAAGATAATATTTTAAAATACTTTCAGACAAAAATACAGACAAAGCAGCATTGAATTGTTTAAATTTTGAGAATGGTGATGTGGCTTTTGTTAATCTAAGTTCAGTTCTGTATTATTTTCCAGGTAATTACAAAAATGTCAGTATCAATTTATTAATTCATTTTATAAATAAATTTTTTTCGTTTTGGGTCAGAATTCGTGAAATTTTCACGAAAAATAAAAAGTTTTTTTTAGTCAAAATGTTTAAAAACCATTTCTATTTGGCCTTAGGAACGTGACAACCAAAGGACAGAAAAAAAAGATTTTTTAAAAAAGTTATTGCGAAATGAACATTTTTGCAACTTTTTAAACAAAAATTTATTTCTCCTAAATGAATGAACTAAGTTTAGAATTAGAAAATTTTTAAAAAGTTTATCTTAAAATATTATTGAATAAATTGTTTATAAACAATTTATTTGTTAATGTTCTACGCCTTTTAAAAATTTGAAATAAATCTCAACATACAATTAATACTCAATCGAATATACAAAGAGCTTGAATGAATCCCGCTTTCTACCAAAAATCTTAATTCATTTCAATCCGTTTGAATTAGTTTTTTTTACTGGGACTTTTATGGTTATATAATTGTATGCAAATCTTAATTCAACAGTGTTTTGTTTATTTCGTTGTTGGTAATATTTCTTATAATTCTGAGAAAAAATCAAAATCGCATCTCCGCGCAATATAAGTAATTTTCATCAGAACTTTTAAAATTTATTGTCGCTCATAAATTTTCTCAACGGATCAATCAAAAATTTTCTAAATCTAAGCGAAAGTATAATATTTTATGTCCTTTGTATAATGTCGTTTTGTTCATTTAAATAGGTTCCCAGCAAACATTGTTACATAACAGTTATGTAACAGTTATGTCACAGAATATCACACGTGATATAACATGATATGAACATGTGACACGAAATGTCGTAACATGAGGGTCACAGTTACATAATTGTTACAAGAAGGGTGATATAACAATTATGTTGCAGCGTGATATTTAATTATTATATCACAGTTATGTAAATATGTTACATAATTAGAAGAATTTGATACATAATTGTTATATCACACTTATATCACGTTGTGACTTATTATTATATCACAATTATGAGATTCTGTTACATAATTTGATGAGCTTGTTATATAATTGTAACATCACTATTATGACCTACGTGAAAATTATTGTTATTATTTTTATTCAATAGATAATAACAAATGCCATTTGACATGGTAATATCCAAAAATAATTTTAGTAAAAAACTGATTTATTAATTAGTACATTTTTTAAACTTGATTTTTTTACAGATCTTTAATATTATTTATAAACATGTTCACAAGTTTATTTTATTCACATTTCACAACACTTATATACAGATTAAATAGTAATTTTATTATTTTACATAACGCTTAGAATGAAAAATATCCGCTCGCATGTGGGATCGAACTCACGTCCCCCCGCCCTTGACGACCCGACGCAACGCATTTAAACCGCACGGCCACTGAAGGCTGGATGAGAATTCTCCTAATCTACTATATCAACTGCAGTGCCGTATATTCTGTTACTTACTGTTATGTAACTATTACGTAACAAAGACAAACTTGTGATTTTTTTATTTGTAATATACGATTAACGTGTTAATAAAAATATCTACCACACATTAGTCACAGTGTTCAGTAACAATTCTGTAACATTTACGTAACAATGTTACACACATATAAGTAACAATTTTGTAGCATTTACATAACAATGTCACACACATGTGAGTAACAAAAAGAAACGATTACAATTATACTAATCGGGATTACAAATTTTTATTTTATTCTGAAAATTCTATTTTTCTTCACATAAAATTTGAGAGTTATAAACTTTAAATTAATTTTAAATAAATTTGTTCAAATAAAAATTTTTCTTTATTAATTTCTGACAACTTTTTACAAAAAAAATTAAGATATTTTTTAAATTATTAATAGACAAACTTTTCAGAGTACGTTAAAAAATTTTAAATAAAATTAAAAGTGAGTGATATATTAAATATCGTAAAATGTTCCAAAAGTCGGCTTCTTCACCCCACTTTACTTTTACGTACTTCTTTAAAAGTTTTGGACATTAATAATTATAATAAATAATACTGATAATAATTATTAATAATAATTTATTGTAAATTAATAAACTTAAACAGTTAAACTAGATTTATAATAAAAAATATTTATTCGAAACAATAATTATAAAATAGTGTTTCATGTTACATAACAGTTATGTAACAATTACATAATTTTATTGCGTAACAGAGAGACTACAATTTTACGTAACAATTTTGTAACGACAGTTACAGAACATTGTTACTTTTATGTTACATAAAAATTACATAACAGTTACGTAATTTAGCTCTTATTACTACAGAAATGTTACGTAACAGTTACAGAACATGTTTGCTATTTAAATAATTTGTTTTTAAATATTTTAGTTGTAATAAAGACTTAAAATGTCAGTTATTTATATTGACGGTTGTTACTTTTTTGTATTTTCATTTAAAAAATTGCAAACATAGCCTACAATTTTTTGCTTCTAAGTTCCCTTTCTTCAAATCGCGTCACATATAATTAATAAAAATGTAAAATATAATTTTTTAATTTTTAAATAATAAACTATAAAAATACATTATCATTATATTCACGATAGTAAAAATGAATATATATATATATATATATATAATATTAATTCTGTTTATAAGGTTTAATCTCTTCATTGGATTAGTTGTGAATATTGGAATAAATAAATTTATTATTTAATATAGTATTCTCTAAATATTCAAATTAAAATTTGCCTTGTTATGTTAACCTTAGGAACTAAAGCAAAAATTTCTTTTTAAAAAGAATAAGCAATTGCTTTGCGTGTATTGCTTTTGTTTTTAGGAAAAAATTGCCTATGTAAAAAACACATTCTGCCTATTATTTATTTAAGTGCAGTTTAAAAGAATGTATCACATTGTTGTATAATACGTATGTTATGAAACTATGTTACTGTTATATCACGTCCCAGTAACAGTGTTAATATTTCATTATATAATAGTTACATAATAATATTGTCACAGTGTGATATAATAATGTGACCTACTTTAGTAATTATAACAAAATTATGTATTTATTATGTCACACAGTTTCGTAACAGTTATGTAACAATTAGAGAACGATGCAATAAGACAAAAATTATTACTCTGTGATGTAATGAATATATCACACAGTTATATAATAGTTATTTGAAAAAATTATGTAACTGTTATATCACCATCCAGTAACAGTGTTATATAACAGTGTTACTATCTCATTATATAATGGTTACATAATAATATTGTCACAGTGTGATATAATAATGTAACCTACTTTATTAATTATAACAAAATTATGTATCTGTTATGTCACACAGTTTCGTAACAGTTATGTAACAATTAGAGAACAATCTAACAAGACAAAAATTATCACTCTGTGATGTAATGAATATATCACACAGTTATATAATAGTTATTTGAAAAAATTATGTAACTATTATATCACCATTCAGTAACAGTGTTATATAATATTGTTACTATCTCATTATGTAGTTGTTACATAACAATATCGTCACAGTGAGACATAACAAGGTGCTTTATTTGTTATGTAACACTTACGTAACGTGTTTGCTGGGTTCATTCATTTAGGAGAAATAAAATTTTGTTTAAAAAGTTGCAAAAATGTTCATTTCGCAATAACTTTTATAAAAAATCTTTTTTTTCTGTCCTTTGGTGGACACATTCCTAAGGCCAAATAATAGAAATGTTTTTTCAACATTTCTATTAAAAAAAAATACTTCTTTTTCGTGAAGATTTCAAGAATTCTAACCCTTTTTATTTTCATTTTTAGGCTCTTTAGAAAATATCTACAGACCACTTTGCGATAATGAAATAAATTCTGACTCTGGAAAAGTAGAAAAATGCTATTTGAGTTGGAGATCTGAAGGATCAGTAAGTTATGTTTCACTTGATATTATAATAACATTAGGTATGAAACTTTAAATTCAATAAAATTAATTTTGCTAATTAATATTTAACTGTTAAATAAAAATTTATGACTAAATTGATTAAAAGAACCAATTACAAATTGTATTAATACATAGCACAATAGTATGAGGTAAGGTTATGTTGAGTACTAATCGTAAGGCACATAACCCAGCAAACACGTTACGTAAGTGTTACATAACAAATAAAGCACCTTGTTATGTCTCACTGTGACAATATTGTTATGTAACAACTACATAATGAGATAGTAACAATATTATATAACACTGTTACTGAATGGTGATATAATAGTTACATAATTTTTTCAAATAACTATTATATAACTGTGTGATATATTCATTACATCACAGAGTGATAATTTTTGTCTTGTTAGATTGTTCTCTAATTGTTACATAACTGTTACGAAACTGTGTGACATAACAGATACATAATTTTGTTATAATTAATAAAGTAGGTTACATTATTATATCACACTGTGACAATATTATTATGTAACCATTATATAATGAGATAGTAACACTGTTATATAACACTGTTACTGGATGGTGATATAACAGTTACATAATTTTTTCAAATAACTATTATATAACTGTGTGATATATTCATTACATCACAGAGTAATAATTTTTGTCTTATTGCATCGTTTTCTAATTGTTACATAACTGTTACGAAACTGTGTGACATAATAAATACATAATTTTGTTATAATTACTAAAGTAGGTCACATTATTATATCACACTGTGACAATATTATTATGTAACTATTATATAATGAAATATTAACACTGTTACTGGGACGTGATATAACAGTAACATAGTTTCATAACATACGTATTATACAACAATGTGATACATTCTTTTAAACTGCACTTAAATAAATAATAGGCAGAATGTGTTTTTTACATAGGCAATTTTTTCCTAAAAACAAAAGCAATACACGCAAAGCAATTGCTTATTCTTTTTAAAAAGAAATTTTTGCTTTAGTTCCTAAGGTTAACATAACAAGGCAAATTTTAATTTGAATATTTAGAGAATACTATATTAAATAATAAATTTATTTATTCCAATATTCACAACTAATCCAATGAAGAGATTAAACCTTATAAACAGAATTAATATTATATATATATATATATATTCATTTTTACTATCGTGAATATAATGATAATGTATTTTTATAGTTTATTATTTAAAAATTAAAAAATTATATTTTACATTTTTATTAATTATATGTGACGCGATTTGAAGAAAGGGAACTTAGAAGCAAAAAATTGTAGGCTATGTTTGCAATTTTTTAAATGAAAATACAAAAAAGTAACAACCGTCAATATAAATAACTGACATTTTAAGTCTTTATTACAACTAAAATATTTAAAAACAAATTATTTAAATAGCAAACATGTTCTGTAACTGTTACGTAACATTTCTGTAGTAATAAGAGCTAAATTACGTAACTGTTATGTAATTTTTATGTAACATAAAAGTAACAATGTTCTGTAACTGTCGTTACAAAATTGTTACGTAAAATTGTAGTCTCTCTGTTACGCAATAAAATTATGTAATTGTTACATAACTGTTATGTAACATGAAACACTATTTTATAATTATTGTTTCGAATAAATATTTTTTATTATAAATCTAGTTTAACTGTTTAAGTTTATTAATTTACAATAAATTATTATTAATAATTATTATCAGTATTATTTATTATAATTATTAATGTCCAAAACTTTTAAAGAAGTACGTAAAAGTAAAGTGGGGTGAAGAAGCCGACTTTTGGAACATTTTACGATATTTAATATATCACTCACTTTTAATTTTATTTAAAATTTTTTAACGTACTCTGAAAAGTTTGTCTATTAAAAATTTAAAAAATATCTTAATTTTTTTTGTAAAAAGTTGTCAGAAATTAATAAAGAAAAATTTTTATTTGAACAAATTTATTTAAAATTAATTTAAAGTTTATAACTCTCAAATTTTATGTGAAGAAAAATAGAATTTTCAGAATAAAATAAAAATTTGTAATCCCGATTAGTATAATTGTAATCGTTTCTTTTTGTTACTCACATGTGTGTGACATTGTTATGTAAATGCTACAAAATTGTTACTTATATGTGTGTAACATTGTTACGTAAATGTTACAGAATTGTTACTGAACACTGTGACTAATGTGTGGTAGATATTTTTATTAACACGTTAATCGTATATTACAAATAAAAAAATCACAAGTTTGTCTTTGTTACGTAATAGTTACATAACAGTAAGTAACAGAATATACGGCACTGCAGTTGATATAGTAGATTAGGAGAATTCTCATCTAGCCTTCAGTGGCCGTGCGGTTTAAATGCGTTGCGTCGGGTCGTCAAGGGCAGGGGGACGTGAGTTCGATCCCACATGCGAGCGGATATTTTTCATTCTAAGCGTTATGTAAAATAATAAAATTACTATTTAATCTGTATATAAGTGTTGTGAAATGTGAATAAAATAAACTTGTGAACATGTTTATAAATAATATTAAAGATCTGTAAAAAAATCAAGTTTAAAAAATGTACTAATTAATAAATCAGTTTTTTACTAAAATTATTTTTGGATATTACCATGTCAAATGGCATTTGTTATTATCTATTGAATAAAAATAATAACAATAATTTTCACGTAGGTCATAATAGTGATGTTACAATTATATAACAAGCTCATCAAATTATGTAACAGAATCTCATAATTGTGATATAATAATAAGTCACAACGTGATATAAGTGTGATATAACAATTATGTAACATATTTACATAACTGTGATATAATAATAAGTCACAACGTGATATAAGTGTGATATAACAATTATGTATCAAATTCTTCTAATTATGTAACATATTTACATAACTGTGATATAATAATTAAATATCACGCTGCAACATAATTGTTATATCACCCTTCTTGTAACAATTATGTAACTGTGACCCTCATGTTACGACATTTCGTGTCACATGTTCATATCATGTTATATCACGTGTGATATTCTGTGACATAACTGTTACATAACTGTTATGTAACAATGTTTGCTGGGAAGGTTACACAATATTGCTGCGGTAGACCTGAGGTGAACTAAAAACTTCCGCCATGGAGGTAAGGTTACATGTTAGGGTGTGGTGAGTATATATGATAAGGCCATGGTAACCTTACACGTTAAGGTTAAGGTAACCTTACACGTTAAGGTTGATGTAACGCCTTACACGTTAAGGTTGAGGTAACGTTACATGTTAAGGTTGAGGTAAGGTTAAATGTCAAGGTTGAGGTAAGGTAATTATTAAGTTGTAAGGTTGAGGTAAGGTTAAAGTAAGGTTGTGATAAATTTACCAGTTATGGAAAATATTGAAAAAATAATTAATAAATAAATATTCAATTAAAAAGTTAGTTTGTTGCTCTTCTCTATTTTGGAAACCTGACATGAAGCAGAAAATTTTGAAAACAAATTTGGGGGGACTGGGATTCGAACCCGGGATCGACGCGCATAAACCTATCATTCTAACTAACTGAGCTAAGTAGAGAACTGGTAGAAGGAAAATTAATATTGCCTTTAAGGAGTTAATCATCTTCTTGGTTCACCTTAAAGGCAACATTAATTTTCCTTCTGCCAGTTCTCTACTTAGCTCAGTTAGTTAGAATGATAGGTTTATGCGCGTCGATCCCGGGTTCGAATCCCAGTCCCCCCAAATTTGTTTTCAAAATTTTCTGCTTCATGTCAGGTTTTCAAAATAGAGAAGAGCAACAAACTTAACATTTTAATTGAATATTTATTTATTAATTATTTTTTCAATATTTTCTATAACTGGTAAACTTATCACAACCTTACCTCAACCTTACAACTTAATAATTACCTTACCTCAACCTTGACATGTAACCTTACCTCAACCTCAACATGTAACGTTACCTCAACCTTAACGTGTAAGGTTACATCAACCTTAACGTGTAAGGTTACCTTAACCTTAACGTGTAAGGTTACCATGGCCTTATCATATATACTCACCACACCCTAACATGTAACCTTACCTCCATGGCGGAAGTTTTTAGTTCACCTCAGGTCTACCGCAGCAATATTGTGTAACCTTATGTGCCTTACGATTAGTACTCAACATAACCTTACCTCATACTATTGTGCTATGTGGGTTGTAACATACAAAGTTACATCGTTAATCTGTAATAGATGATGGTTCATGGAGAAATTTCAAAGACCAAGGAAAGTAAAATTTATCGAATGCTTGTGGATCTTGATAAGTTATTAAAAGGAAACGTGGGAAATTTATCTCCTCTATTGTCTTTATATGGTCCATTTTACGGACAGAAGAACGTAATTTTTTCTGTAAGTATAATGATTTATTAACGCTTGATTTGGAAAATATTTTCAGAAAAATTTATAATTTAGAAAAGTAGCCTCACACTCACATTGCTTTCTATTTGTTGCACTTACAATTGTAGACTTTTTTCAAGTTCGGGATTTTTTCTGAAAATTTTTCGCCTTTTACACATCCATAGTAGATGCGACCATTCTGACAAATTGCCCAGGGAAAATGCAAGGTTTTAAAAAATACTGCAGCTTCACCTATAGCATTTACGGCAATTGCTCCGACATTTGATTGATCCGTTTCTGTTTCAAAGTTATTGAGTTCTTCTATTAAACTCGATTCAATGCTTGCGCTCTATTTATTAATAATCTTTTTTTATTTATAATAATTAAACAACTAATTAAGTTGGAAAACATTTTATTTTATTATTTGCAAGTATGTAATACTTTAAGAAAAGTTGAATAAAATGAATTAAAAATAAATATTTCTTTTAAGAGGGGATCCTACTTTACATGGTCGAAAAAATCGATGTTTCTTTTCCTTATATCTGCAAGAAATACATCCAAGAATATGTACCGAAAGTTTTAAAAACACTTAACATTATTTAAGTGTTTTTATAGTTTTCCATTGATTTTTGGCGAGTGCAAAACGTTTACAGTGGATGTTTGACAACCATATTCAAACTTTGCTGTAAAATACTGGTGTGCAGAATTGACAGAAAACGCCTTGACCGAATTTAATGAATGATGGCTTGTTTTACTCAGTATTAATTCCTCTTCTATTTGAACTAACAAAATTTCAAAAAAATTTTTTTAATAATTTTAACAACCAATAAAGTAATTATTTTTTTTTTTAAATGAAAAAAAATTTTTTTGTTTTATCTATCAAAATATTAGAATTTCACCATTTCTTTGGATTTTTGTAGTTCAAATAGAAACTACATACAGTAGAACCTCGGTTATCCGAGCTTCGATTATACGAGACTCCGGGTTATCCGAGCTCCGAGGCACTAAACGTGCTCGGATAATACGTAATAACTCGAATAAAACGGATGGAGACCAAGTCTGAAAACAAATTTTCACAGAACCACTATTTATGTTCATTTCATTTAAAATTTCATCTATTTTTGTCGTTTAATATTATTTTAACACTTTAAACACATAAGAAATAATTAAACTTTTTAAAATTTTCATTAGTTCGTATTATTTGAGTTTTCGATTATTTGAGACACTACTTGCCCACATTACCTCGGATAATCGAGGTTCTATACTGTATGTGAACTTTAAAATTTTTCTTTGATTTTATATTTCCGACGAAAATTGCGCTCTCTATAGTGCACACCGTCTTTTAAGTCAAGAATTGCACCACCGTCAACAGTTAATTTTAACTTGTCTATTTTTTAATATTTTATGTCAAAATTTTTTTTAAAAATACACTCGAACGCCGGTTTAGCGGACTGTCTGGGGGAGTCGTCCGTTAAAGCGAACAATACCTTAACAATACCTTTAACGAGGCAAAACAAGGAAAATCGTAAATCATAACCCAAAAATTCCTCTAAATCGGTGTCCGCTAAACCGGCGTTCCAGTGTACTTCAAATATATACAAAAACATCCCAAAAAGCCAGGAATTCTAAGTTAATTTTTTTTCTTTTTAAACAAATTCAATTAATAAGTCATATATCTTTTTGTATTGAAAAGAATAATTTCACCTTTAAAAGAAATATTAATAACTATAAGTCGACACGAAACAAAAAATCAAAAGATTAATTTATAAAAAATAAAGTGGTTGAAGTAATTTGACAGTCAAATATATTTGAATTACCATTTTGAGTTTTTCGACAATTTTTCGAGCAGGTGCGTAGGTGTAAATTGCCGTATCCTCGCCAGAAACTGAAGCACAACCGAATCGATTAGCAAAAATTCCACAACCAATTACAGTTCCAATTGAACTAATTGAACCAATCAGTTTTCCCCGATTTCCAGCTGTAGAAGTTCCGCAAACAAATTTTCCCTCTTGATCAAAGGCAACGGCTCCAACTGCACTCAACTGCAAAATTTGTTATTAATAGAAAAACAATATTTTTAAGTAATTTTAAAACATACAGTACCGTCCGAAATTGTCAGTCCACCCATTTTCAAAGGAATGACAAACATTTTTTAACATAAAATTCATGAAAAGTAAAATTTTTTTTGGTTTATATTTTGAAAGACGATAAAATTTTGAAAAGAATAACACCTTACAGAAGTCATTTGGCCAAAATTTGTAGAAGATATTCTTAAAAATCGTCATTTTCAATGTTTTACAAAAAATTGAATAACTTCTAAAATAATGAACGCTTTTTAATAATCTTAGGCTTATTTTAAAGACCATTTTCTACAGAATAAGAATTACTTATAGGCATTAACCTGTAATTTTTAACTTGGAATAAGCTTGACGTCAAAGTTGGACAAAAAAATTCAAAAAATTTGAAATAATATTATTAAAAGAAAAATAATTTTTGAAATTCAAACATATATTTTTATTAAAATTTCTTGAAAAATCTACACCATATCATGTTTTATATATGTTCTAGAATAGTTTTTAGTACAAAAAATTGATTTCAAATTTTTCCAATTTTTTTGTCTAATTTTGACGTCATGCTTATTCCAAGTTAAAAATGACAGGTTAATGCCTATAAGTAATTCTTATTCCGTAGAAAAAGACCTTTAAAATAAGCCTAAGATTATTAAAAAGCGTTCATTATTTTAGAAGTTATTTAAATTTTTGTAAAACATTGAAAATGACGATTTTTAGGAATATCTTCTACAAATTTTGTCCAAATGACTTCTGTAAGGTCTTATTCTTTTCAAAATTTTATCGTCTTTCAAAATATAAACCAAAAAAAATTTTAGTTTTCATGAATTTTATGTTAAAAAATTTTTGTCATTCCTTTAAAAATGGGTGGACTGACAATTGCGGACGGTACTGTAATTAGTTTCATATTTCGCAATATTTACACTAAGGTCCATTGGTTCTTCTATTTCAAATTCTTTTTGTTCCTCATTTTTATTTGACAATCTTCTAGTAACACATTCGGCTAATTTTTCTTGAGGAATTTCCATAGACTTTTCAACTAAATGTTGAACTATTTTGGGAATGTAATTATCAAATTCTTTGAATTCATCTTCGTTTTGAAAATCATCAATCTCTTGGGAGTTGATGGACGGAGGTGGAGCTTCACAAAGAAGGAGCGAACCTGTAAATTTCATAAATAATTAATTAACCAAATAATCATATTTTACTTACATAAATGAAGTAAATATACCTGAAGACAATATGGGAATTCCTATTGAAACAGCAAATCTTTGAGCTCCATTTTCGACCAGTAAAACGTGATCAGTCTTTTCTAAGACAGCTCTTGCCAGATCAATCGGATGTTCGATGTCCCTTATAGATCCAACACATCCAGCTTCAAAATTATTATTCATAACAGCAGCATCCATGACAACATCGCCATTAATATCAACCGAGCCACCTTTTGCGCAATTAAAATATTTCCTACTCTCCATATGATTTATTGCCAAGACAACAGCATCAATTGCATTCGTGCCATTCATTAATTTCTCATAAGTATCCCTCGCTGCGTTTTTCACTTCCTGTAACATAAATTCTCTCGCAAATTTCGGAATATTTCCCGCTCCACCGTGAACAATAATTATAGGTTCCACTGTTATTCCACAGTTTGCCTCTTCGAAATTCTCCGTTTTTATATTCGCCTTCTCAAAGGCCCTTTTAATCCACGAACAATAATCGCACATTTTGCATGTAATGTGAAAATTGCAACCAAAAATTTTGACATTTGTGTGATAACCATGAAAAAAATGAAAGATAGGAAAATTTTATAAAACAGAAAAAAGAGTGACAATAAATTATACTTCAAATAAGATTTCTTTTGTGATTAGAAAGATGAAAGAAACCGCATTAAAAATTAAAGGCTAATTAATTATTATTATTAAATAATTGTCTTTTTATTCGATTTTTAGGAACGTACTCAGTACTTGGTAAAGGAAGTTGGATCATTTCAGAGAATTTTTAGTTACCAAGAGATATTGGAGGATTTAGTGACACAAAAACAGCAGTGCAACAGGGCAAATACTCTGAAACAGAAAAGTTATTTGATAATTTTTGCATGTATTATTTATTCTTTTCATCAACTTTGATCGGAAAATAATTTCTCTACTGAGCCAGGAATCTAAGCTTTCTTAAAAATTAAAACTTGCAGAGTAATTTTAAAATCATTTCTCAATAATTATAAAATATCCTATTCCTATATACTCTTCGTTAAGAAATTGAAAAAAAGTGAATTGCGTTAATAAAGTAAAAAAAAAGTTTCATTTCAAAACTACAGTGGAACCTCGATTATCCGTACTGTAAATCATTTTATCAAAACTTTTTCGTTATCTTAAACACAAAATTATAATTTTTTACATTTAGTTATTGACTATTACTATCAACGAAAATATTTGCAAAACCTTGTCCATCAGTTCAGATAATTGAGGCTTCACTGTAATTGCAATAAAGCATAAATTTTTTGCATAAATTAAAAAATGCGTGAAATTATTTTTTTCACGAATTTTAAAAGAGAAAGAATAACCAGTTCTCATGGCTGGGAACCCGAATTCACACTCATACAAGCGAAATTCCCTTCCACCGCAACACTTGCCTTTCAATTTTCAGTATGATCCTCGCATGCATTTGATACGCTTCTCTCGGTTATAATATTATTCAGGATATATACAGGATCATTTTGGCAACGAAAAGAATTCATAATAAATGCGTGAGAAAATTTGAATCATTTTTTTAATTAAGAAAATATAATGATTCTTAAATATTCTCTATTTTTAACATTAGAATTAATATTATTTGTTCATTTTTACACACCTGTTTTTACAAAGAAGCAAAATAAACGTAAGTCCTCGAATATAGATATACTCGTAGTAGATTAATCATTCATAAGAAACAGAAACGTCCTTCACTTCTCATTTTACTTCCTCTATGCGAATAAAGATCAAATTGCCGTGTAATATAAGGAAAATTATGTTCAAAAACATTGTACAGCGTAATTTCTGCAAATATTATTTATAATCATTATTAAAAAGTTATTCATTTTTATTAAGTATTTTAATAAAATTATTATCCAATTAAATTAACTTTTACTAAATTATTATTATAAAAAGATATATTCAAAAAAATTTGTTAACAATTATTTCTCAATTGTTATAATGCAAAAGGTAATGTACTAAAATATTTTTTAACAACTAAAAGCAAAAATAAGGTGAAAAAATTAATAAACAAAAATATTGTTTTGTCTAGTTAGATTTTGCATTGTGAATAGTTTCCACACTCGCAAATCAATTGAAAATGTTTGCCAAAATCTAGTTCAATCAAAAAATAACAAAGTAGAGTGTGTTGTTGAAACTGATAGGCAAGTATTTAATTAATTTAGATTTGAATAATGTAATTACCATAATACATAAAAATAAAAAAATTAATATTTTGTGTTAATTTTATACTATTCAAAAAATATTAAAAATTAAATTTTTATTACTTTTCTTTCATTCTAGGACCCAATGTCTAAGGATGTTAATAAACGATCAAGCAGATTTTATGTCAGCGGAACCGGAAGATTTAATAGTTCTTGCATTAAATAAAGAGAATAATAATAAAATTCTAGTCACACATGAATTGAGAGTATGGGAAAATGGTAAATTTTATAATTACATATTAGTTCATGCTTCATACAATAATTGTTTTTAATTAATTTAAGAAAATTCAAGTAATTATTATTATTATTATTATTATTATTATTATTATTATTTTTAGAGTATTCTAGTTTTAAGACAGTTGTAGTAGTGAGAAAAGACATTGAAAATTTATGGCATACAGAAAATAGGCATCTCTGTTTACCAGGTTTCGAAAAAAATTCTGTTCTTTTAGATTACATAAAAGTAAGTAATTAAATTCATTTTTTCAATAAGAATTTGAGAAATAAATTTTTCAAAATTCGATCATTTTCTTCATTTGAATTAAATTATAAAGTTTGAAAATTCGAATTTTTAAGATTTGAATTCAATCTCTTGAATTAGGAATTTTTTAATCGAAATTTCGCAATTAGTTTTTAGAGACAAAATTCGTCTCATCTGACTGCAGTCTAGAGAAGAGTTTATTAGAGAATAGATTATCAGCATTATCACAATATTTCGAATCCGCTTGCATCAGTGGTCCATGGACGAATGATGAACAACTTGACATGCAAATGAGTAAATATTTTTGTACTATATTGTTTTGAAAGTAATTAAATATTATCTGTTTGTTCGTTTTCATAAAATAGAAAAATTAAACAGTTAACTTTTTCCCCCCAGAAAAGAAATACGGAAATTTGTGTTCACGATGTAAAAATAGTCAAGAATGCTCAAAGGATGATAAATTCTATGGAAAGGAAGGTGTTTTATTGTGTTTAACAGAAGGTGGAGGTGACATTGCATGGGCGAGATTAAAATTTGTTCGATATCACTTTAAAGTACTTACGTCTTTTTTCGTGTAAGAATAGTAGAACCATTTTTTGAAAAAGTACTTAAATTTGTTTATCCTTTTTTCCCAGCGATTCGGAGGCGAAGAGGATTACAGATTTCTCTGTCCCGATGGGTCGATAAGAAACTTATCTGACGATCCTTGCGTTTGGTTTGAAGAACCTTGGAGGACAACCATCGCCAGAAAGTAGAACATTATTGATTTCTTTTTTGCAAATCATCATTTAAAATGGAATAAAAATTCTATTTTGATTTTATTTCTAAAATGACTTTTAATCTAAATTTAAAGGAAAATAATTTGCCAATTAGATTATTTTTCATTCCTAAGTAAATTTTTACTGTCTACCTTTTGGTAAATACTAACAAATTATTGATAGGAAATAAAATTAATTGAGTTGTGCCAAAAATGTTGTTACAATAAAAGTTCTATTTTTAGAGCAGTCGCTGAGAGAGTTTCGAAATTTATATCCGATCAAAATAATCAAGTCGGAGATTTTTTGACACTTTTGCAATATGATCTTCACAGAACACCGATCAGTACTGAGGCACTTAAAACACCAGAGGATTATTTCAAATTATCATGTAATTACATAGAACTTTTTGCCCTTGGTTCAAATTGATTATTCTCCTTCTGTTCGTAACTTTGTTCTATCTTTTTCTTTAACAGTTCCTGATTATTATTCTCTTAAGGATTATTTACAATGTAAACCAGATCGACGTATGAAATGGTGTGTCGTGACGAATTTAGAAGTCGAAAAATGCAATTGGCTCTCGTACGCAGCGAATAGTTATGGAATAGAGCCATTAATTGAATGTGTGCAGGAATTAAGTAGAAAAAATTGTCTAGAATCGGTGAAAAATAAAATGAGCGATATTTTCGTTGTTAATTCATCTGAAGAATTTGAAGCCAAAATGTAAGTTATTATTTTGAAAGTAACAGACAATTTTTTTAGCAAATGTTTTTAAAAATATATATATAATAAATATATGTATTTTTAATTGTAATTTCAAAAAATAAAAAACACACAATTAATAATAATCAATATTGTCAAGAAATCAGACAACAAAATAAATGTTGAAAAAAATTCTAAAAAACTTAATAAATTTACAGAAAAGGTTTAAGGCCAATTATTCACATGGTGACGAAGAAGAAAAATCAAACAGTCGCATTGGTAAAAAAATATTCTGATTTACAATCGTTCACAGATTTGAAAAATCTAAAGGCTTGTTTTTCGGGTTACAGAGATATTGGTAGGAAAAAAATTAAAATTTGAAAATTAGAAATTCTCATCCTGAGAAAATAACTAGTTTACTTTAGATTCGTGTGTTTTCAGGATGGAATACATTTATTTATTTGATGAAAAATTTGACTGGTGATAATAATTGGTATTGTAAAGACAAGGAAATGGTTTCTCAATTTTTCAAAGAAAGTTGCGTGTTTCAATTAAACGCACAGGACTTTTCCACTTTTCCAAAGAATCTTTATTCACTTTGTTCGCATTGTAAGAGAATAATTTTGAAATTTAATTATTTATAAAAAACATTATGTAATATTTTAATATAAAATTTTAATTTATGTAAAAATATTGAAAAACATTTTTTTATCTCATATAGTAAATTTCGGTAATAGAAACATTACAATAAAAAATTGTTTGGATTCTGACGTGGCCGATGTATCTTTTTTGAATTTTAACTCAGCAACTCCACTTTCATCAAGTAAGTTATTTCTTCAAAGTTATTTATAATATTATACTAGCTGTCGTACCCGTCTTTGACGGGTTATTTATTTCCTAAATAGTTAATTTATAAAGTTCGTCTATAACCCTATTGAAAATCCCTTCATTATGTATAAAGCACTTCCATAAAGGAAATCATATGGATTCCCATATAAAGCCGTATGGGGAATTGAGATACGATTTTAGGTAGGAAATATACATGGTAAATTTAAAACGTTCGTCTTTGTATAAAATCATATATGAATTCATACGTAAAATCCTTTTCAGCATCTTTTTCCCTGTTAGTTTCATTAAATAAACCCTATATTTCTTCAAGAAAATTTCCAATACATATTTCCCATGTTAAATCTCATGTGAGATTTAACTATCATTTAACTCTATCATTTCTCGAGAATAATTTTCCCATATTCCCTCATGTCAAATCTTTTTTCATTTTTTGAAAAATATTCCCATATTAAATCTTACATCAAAATCCATGTAAAATTCAATTTCATTTTTCAAGTATAATTTTTCCATATCCCTATTGAAAATTCCCATATGGGATTTCACATAGGTTTTTATATGAGATCTGACATAGGATTTCACATAAGGTGAATTCGACATAGAATTTCATGTGAGATTTTACGTAGGATTTCATAACACATATTTCTCGTACGGTTTTACATGGGAATCCATATTGTTTCCTTTATGAAAGTGGGATTTTACATGGTTTTTGATTACTTAGGATCCCATGTAGATTCTCATGTGGGGATTTTCAATACGAAAATTAATCAAAACTCCGAATCGATTCACCCGTTTTTGTGTTATTCCCGAACAAAATATTGCGGACAGATATACATATTTTTTTATTGCCATTTTTTAAATTCTTACTACTCGAAATAAAAAACTAAACGCGCTAGGGGCGTTTAGATTAATGCCTAGTCATTAATCTAATAATTAGAATAATTATTCTAATAATAATTCTAATAATTATTCAGGGTGGTCACAATTTTCAGTTTATCAATTTCCCTGACAATTTATTGACATTAAAATTATTTTCCCTGTCAACATTTTTTTTACACGAAAATATGAAAGTTTACGGGAAATGAGTAAAATTTATGAATTTTAATAATTTCTAAACATTACAATTATAATTATTTTAATTAAATTTACAAAATTTCAATTATTCAAAATCTTTTTAATTGTATATTTTGAAAATTTAATTAGAAAAATTATTCAAAAATCATTTTTGAAATTTTTGTTATAGTTATTTTTCGTATTATAAAATTCGAAATAAGTTGCATTTTATACTAAAAAATGTAGTATTTAGTTGCAATATTTGGAAAAGAAGTTGAAAAAGTCGCAATTTTTGAAAAAAAATCGAAAAAGTTTTCAATTTTCCTAATTTTTCCGAAAAAAATTTTTTTCCCGTCATTTTTCTGACTCTACTGACTGAATTAGAATAATAATTAGAAATAAGCACATATTTCAGGAACACTTTCCTATTTTACTAAATTTCGCTTAAAGCCTGGGCATTAAGCTAAACGACGGATTTTTCTTTTCGCCTACGACATATATACACTTCAGCCTATTGGCCCAGAAGTGGACATGGTTTTGAATTAAAAAATATAAAAAATTATTTAAATAATAATAATATTAAATAATATGAAATAATGTTCGAATTTATAGAATACTCAGAGGTGTACTATAGGACTCTTTGTAGTAACGAATTTGTAGATAGTTCTAATAAGGAACGAGAGTGCATTTTATCATGGTTAATACTAGGATCGGTAAGATGGAGAAAAATATTTAAAAAAGAAAATAGTTCTCAAACGATTGTGAATGAATTGAAAATTTTAATCTTCAGATTATGGTAAATAAAAATGTATCTTCCTCGAGGGAAGAAGACATTTTCCTGTTATTTATGGATCTTAACGGATTGTTCGGTGAAACTTATCAAGGAACGACTCCTTTAATGTCTCTTCATGGTCCATTTGAAAAAAAGGAAAATATTATCTTTTCAGTGAGTAAATTAATTTTCTTTTGTCAATCATATTTGTGATTTATAATAATATTATATAATTATATAATTTATACCAACAATAATTTAAGTACATACTTATTATTTTAAATCTATACATTTTTTATAGGAATTCAGTGAATTTACGAGAGACTTAAATAAAAAAGATCGAACATTGCATTATAACGAAATTATTGAAGACTTGAAAAAATATCAATTGTGCAGTGAAGCTGATTTTTTACGAAATTTTATTTACACTTCGATTTTTCTACCAATTATTATTATCATCTGTTCATTAAATTAAAATCTACGTCATTTTGTATTTATATATAAACACTAAATGAATAAAATGTTGTATTCAAACACAGTGTTTGGATCTTATTTACATATCAAGAATTTATGTCTTCGTTAATTGTTTAGATTTGAAGTTTTTCAGATTTGTAACTTCTACAATTTTGTCTATGATTGTCAATGACCTCTGAAAAATAATCGACAGTTTATTAATTACATTACTGGACAGAGGTTCTCTTAGATCTCTTATTCTAATTAAAATATCACAACAAAAGAAAAAAATATTAAGTTTTTATTAAAAAAATAGTTGTTTAAGAAAAAAGTTTTTAATTTTCAGTGATAAACATGGTGTTTAAAGAGTGGATTATTTTATTGACAGTCTGTAGCTTTGCTTTTAATTTGCAATCGACCGTTTTCGCCGAAAAACAAAAAAGTGAGAGTTTACTTTTTATAAATTCATTGGAATACAAATTTATTTATTTACATATACAATTTTTTTATTATAACTATTTGTATTCTTAGTATTAGCATTATTGTTAGGTACTTTCATTGTTTATTATTAATACTATTATTATTATTATTATTATTATTATTATTATTATTTGTTTATATAAGTAAATACTAAATTTGAAAATAATTTCATTAATTTCAAAAAGATATGAAATTTTTCTATTGAAATTGGGAATATTAATTGTATATTTTCAGTTCGATATTGTGTGGTGGATGATACAATACCCCATGAAATAAAAAATTTGGAAACTTGTCCCCTTTTAGTGGATATAGATAATTCTCCAGTTACATGTATAATCGCCGTTGATAGGTATGATGCTTTTGTATGATCCTTTTTATGCAGGCACCTATCCGGATTATCGAAAAAAGTACAAAATAAACGAATTTTGGATTTATAATTTTAGGTATTTATTTGCATACGTATTTAAATAAGACTGAAAAGAAATAAAACACTTAAAGTCAAAATTAATAAATGTTTAGTTAAGAATATTTAAAAAGATTTATACATAAACATTTTCCTAAAATCATTAAAGCACATGAAACGCAACGTTTCGTGTGAAAATTCAAAATTTATGCACTGTAAAAATTTAGGGAGTTAACGGACTCGGGAGTTTGGAGTGAAATTTTTCGAGTTAAAAATCAACTCCAAAAGAGAGTTAATTTCTAACTCCCTTCATTCAACACCCGCGCGAGTTATTTTTTCCTTGGGGAGTTAGCATTTGGGTGTGAAATTTTAACTCTCTTTATTTAACTCCCCTGGCATTAACTCCCCAATGGGTGCGACTTTTATAGACCCCCCCGGGGAGTTAAAATTTAACTCCCTTTTTTTACAGTGTGGTATTAAATGCTTATAAACTTTAAAATTAAAAAAAAATTGAAATTTGTCCGGATAATCGAAAATCCGGATAATGGGGTCTTTAGTGTATATAGGTATATAAGTTAATGCACTTTTAATAAAATATAAATTTTTTAAACTCAAATTCATTTTAAATCAATAATATGAAAATTACAATTTTGTTATTGCAATTTAGAGTTTTTAATTTTGTGTATTTTTTTTGTGATAGTTTATATTTCATTATTAATTCAGAGTGTCCTGCTTACGACATTTACTATCGGGAGAAGTTGATTTCCTTATTGCCGAACCGGAAGATCTTATGATTTATGCATTCGCTGAGGATTATAATAATAAAATACTTGTGACTCATATTATACCTCAAATGTCTATAGGTAAAAAAATTAAACGAAGTAGAAAGCTATTCAAATTTGTCTACTATAAGCAAAAACATGTTAATTTGAAATATTTATTCGAATAATTTACAGATCTACCGAGTCATCAAATGGTAGTAATTGTTCGTAATAATATAGAGGATATTTTCCATACCGAGAAAAAACGTTTCTGTTCACCTGGATTTGAGCCGGGCGTTATGGTTCGAGATTACGTTAAAGTTAGTTTATAATTTAAAGATTACATAATATGTTACGGTCTTTGTCGATTATTATTGGGCATTATCGACATTGCCCGGGTATTTTTAACAAAATTCAGTAAAATGTGACAATGCCCGGGCAATGTCGACATTGCCCACTTACTTTTGAGCAATGTTATTTGCTCCACATTATTTCTTTTTTTAAATCACTTTTTCGCTAAATTATTGTCAAAATGTGGGAAAAAAATGTCACTTCCAAATATTTTATACAAAAAAAAAAAAAAAAATTAAGTGTATGCTATAGCATACACATACAATAATAATATAACAATTTTTTAACGACGAAACGACTATTTTTTCCTGGATGTCCTTAAGAAGACGCAAGTTCACAAATTTTTTAAGTGGTTATGATAAACCATTATAAACCTAAATTCATTGTGCTCTTGCGACTGCAATATAAAACACTCGTTTCATATTCGTCAGAAGAAAACAAAAAGCACTATTGTTGTTACGTTTTTAGATGTTAAATCCTTTAAAATTTCATTGAGCCGAATTATTGTGTGATTAAATTTGTATATATTATGATGTACATAAAGCTATTATATAATAGTACTAGCTTTCGTGCCCGCCTTCGGCTGGCTCGAAATTTAGTGTCGCCTGCCTAATAGTATTTTTTTAAAACAATAAACATTTATTTAAACATTGTCTTTAATATAGGTTTGTGAACCTCTTAATTAAAATTTTAATTTTTCCGTCATGAAATGTTAGCCAACTTCCGAAAGTTTTTAGAAATGAAAGCAAAATCAACAGAAAAATATTTATTGTCTTCAGACAAAGATAATGATTTGTTCAACACATTTTTTAAGAAATTTTTAAAATAGGTGTCCACCTTGGGATAACTTTTTAAGATCAAAATTTTAACAATTCGAAGAAAATTGTCAAACGTTTAAACAATTGCTGTATTAAAAATTTTCTTATAATGTCCAAAAGATACCTATTATATTGTACTTTCATTTAACATACATTTCAAAAAATATTTTATATATACAGTTCAAATTGTAGAAAATGAAATCGAAACCGTGACCAACGTGGGGCTTTTTTCTTTATAGTATTATTAATAATATAATTATTATTATTACCAATATTAATAATAAAACTTAAAAAAATTATTTGATTCAATTAAATGTTTTATTTGTCTATTATCTATTATATAGTTATTTTTACCAAATACGAACTACTAAGATCAAATAAATTGAATAATTCGATCTAATAAATATTGATTTAAATCAATTTTGAAGATTGCTTGATTCAATAATTCACGTTCTTTTAATTCAAATATTTATTTGCATGATAATTTTTTTGAAATGACTACATATTTATTTCTATCAAATATTCAATTATTAATCATAAATAATTATTGTAATTGAGACTAATATCCATTTAATTGCGTCAAATAATTATTGGAATAATTCAGGTACTTCTGGATAGTTTATTACTATTGTGACTGACATTTATTAATTTTTCACAACGTTTCAACACCAACGTTGGCATTTGAAATTATTTATTCCAATAATATAAATGTTTTTACTCTGGAGTAACTGGACTAATTATAGTCAAATTTAATAAAATAATTAATTATATAGCCTAAATACTTCGTAGGACTTATATGCTTGGAAATATTAACATTAAATTCTTACAATTAAATTAAAATTTTAAACCAACGGGGATCAAAACCCAGTCACACTTATCTAGCCTACACGGAGAGAAATTTATAGTAGTGGGTAACATAATTGTGGTTAGGGTGACCATCTTTAATGCTACGTATACAGACAGCTATCTAGATAGTCACCGTTAAGATCAATATCATCAGGAGTAACATCTTGGTAGTACGGGGTAGCATAACTATATTTTTTTTAGCATCTGGGATGGTTGGGAGTAGCATAATGATAGTATCGTGTAACATCATCTTTTTAACATCAAAATCTGACTATCCATTTCTCTCAGTGTAAGACCTATAACCGAAGACCCCTAACTCTGCTGTACTAAGGGAATAGGGAAAACAAACTACTTCGTTAACGGAACTGACTTATTTTATCTAAATATTTTTTTATTTGTTTTTATTAACTACTTTATTTGCATTAAATAATCCATTATTTGCATTAAATAAATTATTATACTTGAAGTCATAAAATGAATTGTGCCAAATAATTTTTATTTATACCAAATATTTAATTAATTGGTTGAAATAAATAAACTAATTTTTTTAAATAACTCATTATCTACTTTGGTTTCAATAAGTTATTTATTTGATTAAAATATTTTTTACTTGTTTTCATTAAATAATGCATTATTTCAAAATTTCAAATAGATAATTTAGTTTACTTGAAGCGATAAAATAGGTAAATTAATTGTGGCAAATAATTTTTATTTATGTCAAATATCCAATTAACTGAGCGAAATAAATAATTTGTTTTAAAATAACTCATTATTTGTGTTAAATAAATTCATTTATTAGAGTCAAGTAATTATTTAATTAATCCAATTAAGATTTATTTGATTCAACTAATTAAAATTATTTAAAGAAAATAAATTCTTATTAGATTGAAATGAAAAGTTTTTAAATAAGATATTATTTTTCAAATAATTATAATTACTTAAATCATATAACTTTTTTCAGTGTAGCTACAGTAAAGTAAAAGTTATTAATGTGAACGAACATTATGCCATATTTTCAAAATTTTAAAAATTCAAAATTAAAGTTTTGAAATAATTATTGTCATCAATTTTACTAAAATTTAATACAGGGTTAATTTTAGTGTTTTTTATTAAAATTTAGTCATCAGAATAGAATTTGAGCTTTTCATTTTTTGATCATTAATTAATATAATATAATAGCAATTTTGAATTCTGTGCAATCTACTGACAAAAGTCTCATATTATTAATATGGATATTTTCAATATTCTGACCTAATAGAATTTTTTTAGAAAAGTAAACTTATGATTTTAACAACAAATTTTTATTGTTGACCTAAGAAATACAACCGTATAAAAATTAATTACAAAAAATTTCAATTTTTAAACTTTTAATTTTTTAATCTTTTTTAATAATATTTAAATCTAACATTTTTTATTTGTTATTCAAAATTTTACTATTCTGACGACTGAATCTTAATAAGAAACACTAAAATTAGGCCTGTACCAAGTTTGAGTACAACTCACTAAAGTATATAAAAAACTAAAAATTTCGAATTTTTAAACAAATGGCATAACTTCCGTCCATATGAATATTTTTTAATCTACTATCGCTAGGTCGCTAGGATTGTAAGTTAGGCTAATGCCTAAAAGACTGCCAAGTTTCACTTGAAACGATCGAACCGTTTTTCCGTGGTGCGCGGTCGAAAATTTGCGAACATACATACACACATAATTTTCTTAATAGTATTTTCGCATTTCTTAGAGTGTAAAAAGAAGGAATATATAATAAAAATTTTGAATTCTATGCAATGTACAGACAAAGTCTGATTTTATTAATAAGGATTTAGATATTGCCTAAGTCGGAACGGGCAATGTCAACAATGCCCAATAATAATCGACAATGACCGAAACATATATAAATATATATATATATATATATATATATATATATATATATATATATATATATATATAAACGCCTAGGCAGTTAGCTAATCGGCAGCTAATCGGCGCCGAATATACGAACGAGCTTCAATATTACTATTATTCGTCTGTTCGCCTGAAGGGATCAGGCAATTAGCTAACTGGCTAGGCATTTAGCTATTCGACAAACGCAGTTTAGGCCAATAGAAGAAAATTATATATTTAATAAAATTTTCATTTATTGAAATATTAGAACGCTTTATTTACAAGTGTTTCCATTACTACACGGAAAAATGTTTGGGATAGCATCTGCACCTTTTGGTGCATTGGTTATCCCTGTCTAAAAATTTTACTATTCAATTCACTTCACACTTATTATTTCCTATTGTTTTTATATGAAGTGAAGTTAATTGTTGGATACATTTTTTGAAAGGTATAGCATGTGCACCTTACATTTTTCCGTGTATAAAATTAAAATACTTATTGATTATAATTTAACACAATTATTATTATTAAAATTATTTATTGAGTGATAATTATTAAGTAATAATAATATTATTATTTTCTGTTACTATTCTTTCTAATTATTATTATTCCTAATTAAATTAATTATAACTGTAAGCAGCAGCAAAACAGTCTATCAGTGGAGGGCAGGGATTTAGGAAATGCAATAAATAAAAACGACCACAAACGGAATTTTTAAATTAACAATCATGCAAATATTTTCTTTTAAAAGAGTAAACAATTTTATGTAATCAGTGTAAGTTTCATTAATTTATTGTAAACGGCTTTTGAGTTATTAATTTTTTTTAAAATGATGTAATATTTTGTTAATAAAAAAATAACAAAAATTTTAAATTTCAAAAAACGGTTAAAAGTGTTTTTTTTGTTTTGTTGTGAACTATAGATTTTTATAAAAGTTTTAACATTTGAGGCATTTCACGTCAGAAATATCACGATTTGCAAAGGGTATGCCGATTTTCGCAAAAGTTCGTGGGATTATAGTTCTGTATAAGAGACTTCTTTCCCCCAAATTTTTTCAAAAAAAATTCAAAATTGTTGAAGATACGCCATTTTGAATTTTAATATTAATTTTATAAAATTTTGAATATCTCGGAATATTGTTTATGGATTTTTATGAAATTTACACATTTTTCAGGTAAAAGTATGTACTTAAAAATGCAAATAAAGTTAATAAAAAAAAATTAATTTTTAAATAAAAAAATTAAAAAAAATTTTTTTAAACAATTTTTTGTTTATTTACTCCTCTCTGAGAAAAATGTTATTAACATATTTGGATTCCTTATGAATTCACCTTTAATTTCATAAAAAAAAATTGATGGAGACTCAACTGGTTCCGGAGATATTGAATTTTTTGTAAAAAATAGTCATAGTTACAGCAGCAATGCACAACTGCGGTAACGTACTACGCGACTTGTGCAGTATGGTGCTATGGCGCGGCGACGCTTTTTTTTACAAAAAATTCAATATCTCCGGAACCAGTTGAGTCTCCATCAATTTTTTTTTATGAAATTAAAGGTGAATTCATAAGGAATCCAAATATGTTAATAACATTTTTCTCAGAGAGGAGTAAATAAACAAAAAATTGTTTAAAAAAATTTTTTTTTAATTTTTTTATTTAAAAATTAATTTTTTTTTATTAACTTTATTTGCATTTTAAAGTACATACTTTTACCTGAAAAATGTGTAAATTTCATAAAAATCCATAAACAATATTCCGAGATATTCAAAATTTTATAAAATTAATATTAAAATTCAAAATGGCGTATCTTCAACAATTTTGAATTTTTTTTGAAAAAATTTGGGGGAAAGAAGTCTCTTATATAGAACTATAATCCCACGAACTTTTGCGAAAATCGGCATACCCTTTGCAAATCGTGATATTTCTGACGTGAAATGCCTCATTTTAGAAAATAAATGAAATGTTTTTAACACAGTTGAGCTGGTCTGACCCTGTAGCAATGGAAAAAATTGTAAATAAAGCGTTTTAATATTTCAATAAATGAAAATTTTATTAAATATATAATTTTCTTCTATTGGCCTAAACTGCGTTTGTCGAATAGCTAAATGCCTAGCCAGTTAGCTAATTACCTGATCCCTTCAGGCGAATAGACGAATAATGGTAATATTGAAGCTCGTTCGTTTATTCGGCGCCGATTAGCTAACTGTCTATAGTCATTTAGCTAAATGACGGATTCTTCCATCTTTATATATATATATATATATAATTCCAATTCCACGTAAGAATTACCTATGACCTTTAAAATTCGGTTAAACATATTTTTTTCTTAACCTTTATAGAAAAATATGAAATACAGTGCCGCTCAAAAGGATTTGCCCACTCTACAGCAAATAAAGACATTACAAAAAGTTTCTTTATTTTAATTTCTAGTAAATATAAAAAGTTGGTTGAGGTCTCATTTCAAAGCTAATGTTTTCTACTTTCATAATATCCAAATAATAAATTAAAATAACAAGTTCTTCGTTGTTTAAATGCAACTGGCAATAAAATTTTTTTTATTTTTTTGGGTAAATTTTAAAAAAATGTAATTTTTTAACAAGTGATCACACAAATATTTCGGGGAATGCAATCAAAAGCTCATTTTGTCACCTTTGAAATTGTACTATAATTTTTAAGAAAGTTATCGTCATTTGTTTAAAAAAACAGCCTATTTTTTAAATTGTTTATAATTTAAAAACAGTTTATCTAAAAAAAAACTTGTAGGGCAAAAAATGTTCATTTTTGTATGTAGAATCAGGAAAAAAATGTTAAAAGCTTTTTTTAAACAAATTGTTTTTAACATGTTTGTACGTCATGTAAATATGACTTAAAATGTGAGGTCAAAGTATGGTAAAAAAATTTGTTTAAAAAAAAGCTTTTAACATTTTTTTCCTGATTCTACATTATAAAAATGAACATTTTTTGTCCTACAAGTTTTTTTTAGATCAAATGTTTTTAAATTATAAACAATTTAAAAAATAGGCTATTTTTTTCAAACAAATGAAGATAACTTGCCCGAAATATTTGTGTGATCACTTGTTAAAAAATTACATTTTTTTAAAAATTTACCAAAAAAAAATTAAAATTTTTTTTATTGACAATTGCATTTAAACAATAAAGAACTTGTTATTTTAATTTATTATTTGGGTATTATTAAAGCAGAAAACATTAGCTTTGAAATGAGACCTCAACTAACTTTTTATCTTTACTATAGAAATTAAAATAAAAAACTTTTTGTAATGTCTTTATTTGCCGTAAGGTGGGCAAATCCTTTTGAGCGGCACTGTACGCATTTTTTTATTTTTGTTTAATTGCCCAAATTTTCGAGTAATGAATTTTCGAAATTTTTTTTTTTTGTAACTGTAGACATATTTTCAGTAGCTTATATCTAAGTCTGAAAATATTGAGTTTAGGAAAAACTTGTCAAAGAATGAAAGTTTTAGTTTTCTTTCTACTTTTAAGAAACTTGGATTTTTTTACAATTTACTTCTCAAAAATGTCTACAGACATAAATTTTTAATCGATTTGAGTATTTTTTATTTTAAATAAAATCCTTTTATTTCAAAAATGTCTACAGACTACAATTTTTAACCGATTTGAGTGTTTTTTGTTTTAAATAAAATCCTTTTATTTTTAAAAACACTCAAATAGATTAAAAATTGTAGTCTGTAGACATTTTTGAGAAGTAAATTGTAAAAAAATCCCATTATTTACTTATAAGCTACTGAAAATATGTCTACAGTTACAAATACAAAATTTCGAAAATTCATAACCTGAAAATTTGGGCGATTAAACAAAAATAAAAAAATTCCTATTTCATACACTACCAATTTTAAATTCTTTTATAATTAATTTTTTTTACAGAGAGGAAATATAGTAATTTGTCCTCTCAATGTGGAAGTTCTTTTCAATATTATGGAGATGAAGGTGTTTTAATGTGTCTAACTGATGGCGGTGGAGAAATTGCCTGGTCAAGATTAGATTACGTTCATCGACACTTTAAAGTAATATGTATTCTGTTATTTAAATAATTAAAAAATTCAACTGTACTACCGGTCAAAATTGAGAGACCACTTATTTTCAGGCGAATGAAAAACGTTTTAAAACATACAATTTATTGAAACTAAAATTTTTTTCTGTTCATATTTTTAAAGATGAAAAATTTTGAAAAAAAACAAGATATTTTAGCAGTCGTTTCTCGTTTGGCCAATAATTTATTTAGATATTTTTAAAAAATCGTCATTTTCAATGTTTTACAAAAATTTGAATAACTTCTAAAATAATGAACGCTTTATAATAATCTTAGGCTTATTTTAAAGGTCATTTGCTACACTATAAGAATTACTTATAGGCATTAATGTGTCATTTCTTTCTTAGAAAATGCAGGCTGTCAAACTTGGACCGAAAAAAATCAAAAAATTTGAAACAATCTTATTAATAGAAAAATAATTTTTGGAATTCAAACGTATTTCTTTTATTAGATTTTCTTGAAAAATCTACACCATATATGATGATTTATATATTTTCTGGAATAGTTTTTAGTACAGAAAAATTGTTAAATTTTTTGAATTTTTTTGGTCCAAGTTTGACGGCCTGCATTTTCTAGGAAAAAAGTTACACGTTATTGCCTATAAGTAATTCTTATAGTGTAGCAAATGACCTTTAAAATAAGCATAAGATCATTAAAAAGTTTTCATTATTTTAGAAGTTATTCAAAATAATAAATATAGGTAAATAAAATTTTAGTTTCCATATATTTTATGTTTTAAAATGTTTTTCAATCACTTGAAAATGGGTGGTCTCTCAATTTTTACCGGTAGTGTATTTTTCTATAAAGGTTAAGAAAAAAATATGTTTAAACGAATTTTAAAGGTCATAGGTAAATCTTACGTGGAATTGCCCATATGCCATATTGCCCATTGCCCATATTACATATGCACCTCATTAAAAATATAAAAATTTCATGAAGAATTTTTTTTCATATGTATATAAAATATTTTAATTTCCCTTTCAGTATTTTGAAAGCAGAATAACGCCACGAAAATGTGATCCAGAAAAATCTTTGCTAGAAAATAGAATGGCTTCTTTATCGGAATATTTTGAATCCGCTTGCATCAGTGGTCCATGGACAATTGATTATCAACGGAATAAAAAATTAAGTAAGATTTTTATATCAAATTTATTTATGTTGTATATTATTTATTTTATTAATTTCCAAATGGCAACATCATTTTTCATATCTTTTTTCAGAAAAAACATATCCAAATCTTTGCGCAGAATGTGGAGATCCCACGAAATGTTCACATGAAGATTCATTTTTTGGAAAATGGGGAGCTTTGAAATGTTTATTGTCAATGAAAGGCGATGTTACTTGGGCTACTCTTCACGCCGTCCACCAAGATTTACAAGTAAATTACTATTATTACATATTATTAATTTTTAACGTTTAATTTTTTTACTTAAAAAATTTATAATTTTTGACTTAATTTCAAGAGTTGATATTATAATTCTGTGTAATTAAGAAAAACGATTAGACTTACGTCTCTATGGATGATTTGTGATTTAATTAATCCCTTTCACGTGTTTAATGAAGCTAACAAACAAGGATGAATATTCCTTCCTCTGTCCCAACGAAAAGACAAAAAATTTAACAGACAAAGCTTGCGTTTGGCTCGAAGAACCACAGCGAACGATTGCAGTCTCAATGTAAGTATAAGAATTCTTTTTCTGTCCATTTTTCAAATTTTCACCTAGAAAAATTGACATTGTTAATAAAATTAAAAAATTAATTTCTTTTCTTAAATTAAAAAAAATAGTCGTTGGAAATTTAACCAATTTTTACTTTTAGGACCTCTGCCGAAAAAGTCGGAAGATTCATGAAAAACCCACAAAATTCAAATATTCTATGGAGGCTTTTTGTTGGAGTACCAAAACCAGTCGAATTGCCAGCAACACCTCTCGATTACTTACAAAGATCATGTAAATCTGTTTCTTACAATTTTATTCTACAATTTTTGCAAATATATGTATATGAAATTTTTGTTTTCATTCTATATGGACTTTGCTTCCACACGAAAACTTTCATTTTATGAATGTTATAAATTGCATTATTGCTATAAACTACACAGGCCTGCAAATTTTGGCTTAGTTCTGTTACAGAAAAAGTGGCAGGTGATTCTTATAGCTGTTTTGACGTAGAATACGAATTCGATTTCCAAAATGGCTCATCACGTCAGGATTTCTTGTAATATTGCCTTAAATAGCCAAAAATGGCTATTTTGGCCACTTTTCGGAATTTTTTTTGGTTAACCAAAATTTTTTTGTTCAATTTGCAAAATTGCATCGTATAGTACTAGATCTAAGCTTTAAAACCCATTTTTCAAAATTGTTTTACGATTTTTTAAAAAAAAGTTATGTAGATTTGAAATTAAATGCCATTTTGAACTTCTTTATACCTACATTTTCCTAAATAAAAAAATTTCAAATCTACATAACTTTTTTTTCAAAAATCGTAAAGCAATTTTGAAAAATGGGTTTTAAAGCTTAGATATAGTACTATACGATGCAATTTTGCAAATTGAACAAAAAAATTTTGGTTAACCAAAAAAAATTCCGAAAAGTGGCCAAAATAGCCATTTTTGGCTATTTAAGGCAATATTACAAGAAATCCTGACGTGATGGGCCATTTTGGAAATCGGATTCGTATTCTACGTCAAAAAAGCTATAAGAATCACCTACCACTTTTTCTGTAACAGAACTAAGCCAAAATTTGCAGGCCTGTGCTATTAGATACACAATTCAAAAATTAAAAAAACTTTTTAATAATAACTTATAATATTATATTATATATATATAAAAAAAATAAAAAAAAAATAAAAAATAAATAATAATAAATAAATATAAAAAACTTTTTAATAATAACTTATAATATTATATATATATATATATATTATTTTATATTATTTTATAATAACTTTTTTTATGTTTTTTTTTTTTTTTTTCTTTTACAATTCAACACAAAAAAATAAGTGTCAGAAATTTTTTTTTAAATACCTGCAAAAAACAGTTCTTGAAAAATTTAAGACTACTGATTTTGTGTCCCCCAATGAAATCTACAATTAATCTACAATTAAAAACAAATTCATCCCTTTAGCTTCTTCTGCCATGTAAGCCAAAGTTATTCATATATTTTAAAAAAGGTACTTTTTGTTATTTTTTGGTATAAAATTGTAATTGTAATATATATTTCAATAATGCAATTTATAATATTCCTAAAATGAAAATCTTGATCAGTAAATGAAATAAACACGAAAATTTCAGCCTTAACTTTGCAGCGGTTTTTTCTAGTTTTTATAAATTTAAAAAATTAATTTATTTCTTTTTTAGTTCCAGAATATTATTCACTAAAGGATTACGCGAAATGCACTCCCGATAGAACGATAAAATGGTGTGTAACTACAAATTTAGAAGCTGAGAAATGTAAATGGATCTCGTTTGCTGCTCAAAGTCATGGTTTAGAGCCTTTAATAAAATGTGTACAAGAAACGAGTCGTGAAAATTGTATGGAGTCGGTAAAAAATGGCATAAGTGATATTTTTGCAATTGAAAAGAGCGAGGAAGTTGAGGCGAAAAGGTAAGAAGAGTAATTGAAAATTAAAAAGCGAATATTAAGAAATTGAGAAAAAATATTCCGTTTCAGACGAGGACTTGAGGCAATTGCATATATGATGATGAACAGTGGACTCGAAGACATAACAGTCGCCTTAGTACATAAATTTTCTAATTTCACTTCCCTTCGCGCTCTAGAAAATCACAAAGCGTGTTTTCCTGGCTATCGAGAGTTTGGTAAAGTAACAAAATTTGCTTTTTAAGAAATATATTTTTTCTTTCAAAAATAATATTTATTAGAAATATATTCAACAAGAAAAAGCAAAAATACAAATTTTCAAAACACTCTGAACAAACAATTAAATATTTAAAATTACTTACAGAATGGAATACTTTTCTTTACGCAATGAAAAAATTAACTGGTTATTCTGAATGGTATTCTAACGATAAGGAGATGGTTTCGAAATATTTCAACGAAAGTTGTGTTGCTAATTTACATAATGGAAATGGATCAGAAAAAGATTTCCCAAAAAATTTGTATTCCTTATGTTCTCTAAGTACACAAAGTAAGAACGAATGTACTATTTTCCAATTTTTTACTCCCCTATAACCATAAACTTTAAAATATAATTTTTCTTTTGGAAAATAATTCAAAACTAAAGAATCTTTTGTTTCAGCAAACGAGAAAAATATTTTGAGACAACCACGTAATCCAACAATGATTGTGGAAAAATTTGAAATGCCCAAAAAAGAAGGTAATATTTTTTTCGAAAGAAATTAAAAGAATCGATGATTAAATAATAAAATAATCATTTGCAAATTTTTTCCAGAAATTGTAAATTCAGATCAAGCAATGTTTAACTGCTTAATTCACAATAAAGCTGACGTGGCTTTTGTTAATTTGAGTTCATTTGTGAATATATATCCAGGTATTTTAAAATAATTTAAATTCCTTTTTACTTTCTTATTAAGTTTCCAGTTAAAGAGACCTAATTAAGCTAAAAATAATAATTTAAAATATTATAATTAACAGAACTGATAGGAACTGTTTTCCGTGTTATTTGTCTAAATGAATCGAAAACAATAGATCATTGTTTTTCTGCTAAAAAATCTCTAGGATCGGTAAGTTTCGATTAAATAAAAGAAATTTCTCATTACTTAAAATATTTTTTTTCCAACAGTTAGTTGTCAATAAAAGCATAACAGGAGCAAGAAAAGATGATATTTACTTTATGTTATTGGATATTGATCGAATATTTGGTATCACTTACCAAATAGTCAGCAAACTAATTACTCTCTATGGTCCTTTCAATGGCACGAATGGCGTCATTTTTCCTGTAAGTAATAATACAAAATCAATTAAAAATTAATTTAATACAATTTTAATAATTATTAAATATATATCTCAGTTTCATATTACCAACTATGTATTTCTGTAAGAATTATTTCCAAGTCCATTGTAAACATTGAATTTATTTCTAAATTTCAGGAAGGAACACAATTTTTAGATCCCATAGCTTGTGATTCGCCGTGTAAATTAAGTTATAATGAAGTTTCTAAAGATATTTCACTCCATTTTCAGAATAATACTGCTAACGTTTTACAAGTCAACATCGCGATTTTACTAATTTTGTTTTTAATAATTTAATTCTTTTACATAAATAATATTACATGGAAAAATTGTATATAGCAACAAATACTATTTAAGAAAATAATGTTAGTATTAACAATAAAATGTATATTTTTATTGATAAAAACATAAGTTATTGTGTGTGTGACTCAGATGAATAAATTAAATTTACAAGTGCTCTAAATAATTTTTTTTAAATATTAATTTTACTAGAATTGAACAAAAACTGCAACAGTGATAAAAATTTCTACAATAATAATAATAATAATATTAATAATAATAATAATAATAATAATAATAATAATAATAATAATAATAATAACAATAATAATAATAATAATAATAATAATAATAATAATATAATAATAATATTAATAACAGTCTTTGGAAACCTCAAGAGTTTTATATGATATAAATAAATTGTAATTTTTTAATGATATTTTTGGAACACGTGAATTGCTTGTTAGAAAATCCATTTTTTTTATAAAATTGTGAAGTATCGCAAAAAGTTATTAATGTCTTCAAAAAAATCTTGTTGAGAATTGTAGAATTCTTTGCTTAATTTGTGAACTTCAACATTTCCCATCTCAGTACCAATTGCCTGTAATTAATATTTCTTTTTCATTTCTACTCTTCTTTTTAAATTTGTTTAGAATGAAAGAAAAATAGTTTATAAATAAATAAAATATATTTCATCTAACATTAAATTTAAAATAAAATTATTTCAAATATAATGAACTAAATGAAAAATATTTAAATAAAAACTAGAAAATGAATAAATATGTAATTAGGAAATTATAAAAAATGTTTAGTATATTGAAATAAAAGATTTTATAATTTAATAAATATTAAATTTCATTACCAAATACTGATTAGCCAAATCGTGACTAGAATTGCAGGGAGATAATTGAATGCATTCTACATTATCCCAACTTTTTGTAGATATCGAATAAGCAGGAGAAGTATCACTGTTGCTTAAATCCCAAACATGTATTCTAATAAAATTTAAGTAGAAAAATTTATGAAGTGTTTAATAATACTTATGTATAATTAAAAATAATTATAAAAAATACATACTGCGAATTAATGTCAAGAACAAACAGCGTGAAGGGTTTCGATTTCGACCATTGTATTATTTTGACAGCCGATTTGTAATTTTCGTTTCTTAATTGTAGAAGAGATTTTTTCACATTTAATGAATGAAGACGTACAGTACCATTATCGCAACCTACCTACAAGATCAATTTTCAATTTTTAAAATTTCTTTAATAGTTTTCAATATTATAAAAACTATATTTAAAAAAGTCTATTAAAAGGAATGAATATAATAAATTTGTAAAATAGTATATTAATCAATTTTGTGCATGTGGCGAAGCTTCGCCTACAGTTTGTTCCAAAAAAAGTGCTCGTTCAAAAATTGGCAACTGCTAGCACTAGTTACGAACGATATTTTTCATAACGCACCGCGTTATGAAAATAATTTAAATTTACGTTATTAAATGAAAGAATTGAAAATTCTGCACGAAGAATGTAATTTTTAATGTCAATTGTTTTTATAAAAATAAAGATAAAATATATATTTAATTTTTAAATTCCTTCCTCTTATGAACTCTTATACCGGTTTCATTTCCGAAATAGATAAATTAAAAATTTCGCCTAATAGAATTAATTAACAAATTGTAACCAATGTACAGACAAAATTCTGATTTTATTTATATGGATAGATAGATTTCATAGTTAGAGTAATTTACGCTACAAAATTTATTTATTAAAGTTAATAATGCATTTAATTGTTATAAGAAATTACTCACCAAGAAAAAAGATTGCTTAAAAGGACATCTCTCGATACAAGTTGCATTGCCAGACCAATCTATAATTAAAAAAATTTTAGAATGTCAGTTATTTTTCCTTTGCTATACTTTTTTACTTGATTGCTTTATTTAAATTTCCATACCGATTTTTAAGATTATTTTCTGGGTCAGTCCACAAAGAGAAGGTTAGATTGACAGCTATGAAAATCTAATAAAAAAGCATGGAAATAATTTAGATAATACATAGTTCTTGATTGATATTTGTAAAAAATGAGCTAATTTACTTGTACAAATAGATTATTATCTATGTCACTACATTTTATTTACATTTTTCTAAAAAGTTTATAAATATTAAAAAATTTATTACTACTTAATGTAAAGTATTTACAATGTCGTTTCATATTATGTGCTAACTTTTTAATTTTATAATATACATAGAAATATGAAAAATTTTACCTTTAAAATTCAGTTTCATGATTTTCAGTGATTTTATTCACTTATTTCTTCTCAGGTGCAAGATTAAAAAATCCAGTTTTGGTCTTAATATACATAATATTAAAATTCAAAATGGCGTATCTTCAACAATTTTGAATTTTTTTAGAAAAAATTTGGGGGAAAGAAGTCTCTTATATAGAACTATAATCCCACGAAGTTTTGCGCAAATCGGCATAACAAAATCGTGATATTTCTGACGTGAAATGCCTCTAATAAATTTTTTAATATTTATAAACTTTTTACAAAAATGTAAATAAAATGTAGTGACATAGATAATAATCTATTTATACAAGTAAATTAGCTCATTTTTAACAAATATCAATCAAGATCTATGTATTATCTAAATTATTTCCATGCTTTTTTATTAGATTTTCATAGCTGTCAATCTAACATTTTCTTTGTGCTACTCAACTTAAAAATCAAAATTCAAAGTTAAATTCAAACATTTTTTAATAATAATTCTCAAAAATAAATTCTATAGATAGAGACCTACACTTTGTGCGAAGCGCATAATCGCATAATTTTCAAAAATTGAAAGAAAGTTTAAAGTTTTACGTATTATAATGTTTATGAATAAAATAAGGAAATAAGGAAATTTTAGGAAAGTTTCGGTACTGTGTGGGTAGGGTCTCAGACATATGTTTGTAAAATAATAAGTTGATATTTTAAAAATTGAGTGAGATATAAAGCTTTAAAGATCTGAAGTAAGGTTCAGTTAAGTCCGGCTTCCTGTAGCCCGGAACAAAATTTCGTCTAATGAAAGAGTATGATAAAATTTTAAACTCGTTTTTCTTAAAACAGCATTTTGCAAATCGGTGATCGCACTATTTCTCAAAAACTACTGCACTGAATCTCCGATTTTTCTTGAGTTTAGTGGGCTTTTTTAATACATAAAAATCTACTCCTCACCTCAATAGAATGATTTCTTTTTTTAAGAAAGGGGTCGTCCATAAAGCATATGATATTTGAAGGAGTAGGGGTGTCCATAAAATATCATGCTTCATATTAATCATTATTGGAAAAAGTATCAAGATGGGGGGGATAAAATTTCGGAAATTAAGTATGCTTTATGGATGACCCCAAACAATATCTTTTTACAGCTGAGAACCAACAGCATTTTTTTATCTTTTACTTTAACTAAATTCGTTTGAATTTTGTATTTCTGAGAAACCAGCTCCTTGTTACCGTGGTCATCGCAAAACATATTTCTTATGATGACCTTTACTCTATATTTATAGAGAATAAGTTGCTTTATTTAAAAATGTTTGTGGTTTTTCTTAAAAAACATTAACATAATGTTAATTAACATAATGTTAAAAGCTTTATTTGGGTCCTTAATAACGTTTTTCTTTCAAAAGCATCAATTTGCACTTTTTAATTTTTCAACGCATAATTTCGCATAATAATCAGTTTTTCAGGGCATAATCCAGTAATTTTCAGCGTCATAAAATACTGTCCTTATCTATAGATATTAAACATCATTTTTTACAAATTATAAGATTTTTCTAAAAAAAAAGTCGCAACGACTGTAGGTGAAGTATAATTTCAGGGTGTCTAACAAATTAAGAAAGATGAATGCCCTGACGTTTCCATAACTTTTCCATGACATCCTTAAAAGGATTCCCTGACATATTACTAAATGTAGATAACTTAATATATATTAAGTAACTAGTAAATTAAAGAAGAATACGAACATTTATTAATTAGTTTAAGAAAAAGTATAAATTTCCTTCCGAATTTATATTGGTCTATATTAAAATTCGATCCTTGGAAGGTATAATAAATAACAAAGAATATTTTTTGTCATTCTTTAAAATTTATTGTCAAAAGTAAACAGCTTAAAATTCAGGCTCATCTGAATAATAAATGTTAACAACACTTTAAAACCATAACAGCACATAAATTATAAATAAATTAAAATTGATTTTACATAAATAATTAGGTAATTATTATAAATTAACGTTTATTTATTTATAATTTATGTGTTGCTATAGTTTTTAAAGTGCTGTTAACATTTATTATTTAGAGCGAGCCTGATGATGATGACGAACCAAGTCATCGAAACGTCGCTTTTTACTTTTGACAATAAATTTTAAAGAATGACATAAAAAATATTCTTTATGTTATTTATTATACCTTCCAAGGATCGAATTTTAATATAAACCAACTTATTAATTAGTTTAAAAATAAGCGACAGTTAAGGCTCATACAACTCGTTTTAATAATTTTATTACAAAATAAAAAAAAGTTATTTTTAACTGAACAAATGCTTTGGTTTGGACGAATATTTTGCACTAGTTTTCCATTTTTCAAAAGCTACGAATAAAATAATTTGTTTTAAAATTCCAGAAAATAAAGGAGATTCCATGACTTTTCCATCCAAAAAATCAATTTCATGACTTTTCCCTAACCTGAAGAAATTCCCTGACTGTTAGACACCCTGATAATGGACTGACCCTTCTCTTATTTATTTCTTTCACTAGTTTTTAACTTTCAATTCCATCTTTTAAAATAGAGAATTCCAATTTTAAATTTTATATTTCTAATTTTTTCCTTTGTTTATATACAATTTTGTAATAATATTATATTTTGTTTTCCTTCTATTTATTTGTTTTCAATGAGCTTACCCATTTCGTCTTCTTTGTAATTCATTGGATTAGTTCTTCCTCCCACACTATTGGCATGTAAGATACTATTCGAATTTGTGGAAATAAAAAGATCATTATTATTAATACTATCTACAGTTAAGTCGAAAAATCTTCGTAAGTGATTCTCCCTGAAAAAGAAGAACAATTTTGTACTTTCTGATTATTATTAACTGAATTTAATAATTAATATAAACCTACATATCAGTTTTCTTAAAAGATAAAGGCACTTCTTGGCTTTTTGTCAGTTTTATATCGCCCCAGTGCGATACTCCATAATCCCCAGAACTCTTTATCATCGTACTTAAAACGCTCCATATTATTAAACTACCATTTTCGTCTAAACTACAAATCTATAATTATAGTTTTCATTTTTATTAGAATTTATTATTTATTTACTTTTTGATCATTTAATTAATTAGAATATACTTTTATTCAATTCATACGAAGAAAGAAACGTCTCACTTACTTGAATTGGTAAAAACTTATTATTAACGGTATCTAGGGCTTCTTTTTCTACTTTTGATAAAATACGTAAGGCCACGATTTCAGACTTATGTCCGTCAATTTCAAAATTTCCCGTTGTTGTGTAAGTTGGTGAACGTATCACCCAATCAATTTCATTTTCCTTGTAAGTCACTTTTTTATGCCACATTTCATCTTCTTTCAAATTCCAAATGTTAATCGATCTGAAAGAAAATGTAAAATTTTATTTTTTAAATATGTTTTATTAAAAAAGAGGATTTCATTTTTCAAAAGTAAAATTGTTCTTTTCTCACCCATCTTGTAAGCCAGCAAAAATAATATTATAACTAGTTGGATGAAAACAACATGAAGTTATTGGACTTTGTGAATAAATTATTTTGGTTGGTCTTGATGGCTCGGAAATATTCCATATGCATCCAATACAACAATCAATAACATAATCTTGCTTGTTTGATGTCTCGATATCCTGAAACAAGAAAATATAAATGGAAAGGTGGCAAAAGAAAATTATGAATCAAAAATATTCCTCTACCTCGTCTCTTGGAGCGTGAATCGTGAGAAGAACTTTATTTAATATCTCGGAGTATATAATGGCAGTTACAGATCTACCTGTTAAAAAAGTCAGTGAATTTATCGAGAGTTTTATACAGCCCGCACTAAAAGGCATATCATGATTGTTCTTTTGAAGAATATTTCCACCAAATCGTCTTTCTTCTAGAAGACAAAGCATTACTTTTCCCGTTCTTTCCAAAAATTCATTTAACTGCAAAACATCGTACGGTGGAACAACAGTTAAATCTAAATCGTCTTCGTTACTACCAACGCCAAATTGTTCCTGAAAAAAATTAATAATAATTTTTTTTCATATTTAAATAAAAGTTTAATAAAATTTAATTTTTCATATATATTTTTCCTTAAATAAAAACATGTCAAGAAATAGAAACCTTTCGAAATAATTTTATATCTTCACTGGTAGTCAGATTTTTCCTGCACGTTATTGGAAATTGTGTCCATTTGCTACAGGATTCAATTTTTTCTGTTTGAGTCTCCTCCTCCAGATTATCGTCATTAGTTTGAGTGCACATCTAAACTCAATTTATTTATATTCCATTATATACAACTTTTCGGGTTTTTTTTTATAGTTTCTACGTTCAATTCGTTACAAAAATTTGGTATTTTGATAAAATTATTATGTGTTGTAAATAAATTATAATTTACCTATTTATTAAATTTATTATTTATTTAAAATTTTCTATTCAATTTGATTATAATTTAATAATTTTAATTAAATTAGAAAAATTTCATACCTGTTGCGTGTTCAATTTCCCATAATTCCTAATGAATTCGTCATAAGCAATTGGCGCACTTTCGTATAAGGACCATTCAACATTGTCTAATTTAATCATGGTCATTAGTTCCTCTCCTCTACTTAGTACTTTCCTCGTTTCCTTAAAAAAAATTATAATTAAAATTGATCTTTTTTAAAATCAAAATATATTTTAATGCATTTAATATTTAACTATTATTATAATAATAATTTTTTCTAATTGTGTTAAATGATCCTATACCCAAGACTTTTTGATAAATGGAATCGGAGATATGAAGTGATAATATAGAGGTGTAATTTTTGTTTCCAGCGAATTTTTATTGTCCAACAGTCCAACTTTGATGGGCTACAACTTCTAGAAAAGTGTTTAGAAAATTTTTTAATTTGTACTAAATGAAATCTTGAACTTTCAGCTTTAAAATAAGACCAAGAACACTTTAATCTGTCCATTTGTTTCTAAGTTATGAGTAAATAAATTTAATAATGCACGAAAGATTTTAAATGTAGTGATTCAACTGTTTCGACGAAAATAAATTGTATAAAATCGTGTTTCACTTAAAAAAGTGCTAATTTTATTAATAAAATAAAAAAATATTATCAATTGAAAATCCCACAAATAATGATTTAATTACTGTTAATTTAAATTCTTTAGAATATTATACATGTGTTATCACAATAATAAAATTTATAATTCGAGCGCCAGACGAGCAAACAGTTATAATTATATACTATACAAATTTCAAATTTTTCTAAACACTTTTCTAGAAGTTGCAGCCCATCAAAGTTGGACATTATTACATAATTAAAATTTTATAATTATATTAATCTCAAATATAAAAATAATTTAATGTATAAAAGGAAAATATTTTACTACAAAGAACTTACCGTCTTTTCCTTCTGAGGATTAGTTATTTTGGAAGTTTCAGAAATTTGAGAAATAGGAGGTGATTTTGCAAAATCTCCAGACCTTGCGTCTTCAAATCCTTCATCCATTGAAAGAGGTAAAGATTTATTTTCTGACTGCTTCTCCTCTCTGGAAAAAAATTATAATTATTCAATATTTAGAAAAAAATATTTTTTATTGAGCGATAATAATCTATATATGTGCAAACCTAAAAGTCTGATTTATGGGATGAGTTAATTCAGTCAAAGGCGTTTTTGGACGACTCGTTAAATTTGAATCTATTACCAATGATTCAATTCTCGCTGCTCTTTTTCTGGCTTCTGCTAATTCATAATGACCAGAGTCCAACATTCGCTCTTCTTCCGTTTTACGAATTTCATAACTGTTCACAACTCTTTTCTGAAATTTTTTGATTATAATTAATTCAAGGAATATTCTTACGAGGAAAAAATTGAATGATTCTCAATTTATATTTTTCGGTTTCGAAAGAAAGAGAAACAATTACAGAGATATTAAAAGAATTAAAGGAAAATAAATAAACGATAAAAGTTTAAAATAAGAAATGTAAAGTAAAGATAAATTGTGAGATGTAAGAAATTAATTACCCTTTCGAGTGCTTTCATTTCAATTGGTTCTAAAATAGGACTGTCTCTAGATTCATTAGCTTCCTCGCTAATTAGAGAATTATTACTGTCTGTACATTCCTCAAAGTCGGATTTATAACTCTGTAAAAAAAGTTCAGTTAGAAAAAAGAATTTTCATAAATTATTTACAAGTACCTACTTCAAAATCGTCCTCATAGTCAAAATCTTCATCTGAATCGGGCTTGACTGCACTATCGAAATTTTTGTTTGGAATTGCAGTATGTAGAACTCTCACTTCACTTGGACTTAAAGTTCTCGACTTTCTACGTTCTCGAGAAGATGGCCTCTTATTTTTGCGGTCATCGGCTCTATCATATTTCTTAGTTGGCAATGCTTTAGAATCTGACAATTGTCTCGTTGATAACGATTTGAGTTTACTCGTATTACTTTCAGGCACAAATATTGTGCTCCTACCACGTTTTTCCGAAATTTTAATTTTTTCCTTCAATTTACTGGAGCTTTCTGTTTGCTTCGTGTGCTTCGTACCCTGTGTCTCACTTTCTTTCACTTTAGTTGTTCTACTAACATTTAAAGGTGTTCGAGACGATTTGGAAAGTGACTTTGACGTATCACTTTTAACAATTGCTTTTACTTGAGAAATTGTGCCATTTGATCTAGAAGTCTTTTTCACCACTGATGATAAATTGATCCCACTGCGTTCTGCTTTTGAATTAACATCTGCATTTTGAGTGATGCGAAAAATTTCTTTCTCCTTCTGATCGGAAATCTCTCTAGTTCTTGATTTTGTTTGTGAACTATGTGCATTTTTTGCATCGAAAGTCTTTTTTATCGATCCCTAAAATAAAATTATTTATCAATGTATTATTGGAGTTTATGGTTTAAAAAAAAGAAAGTGTAAAATAAATAATAAAATCGATAAAAAAATGACATGTGACAAAAATAATCTCTTTATGTACAAAGTTAGAATTTGTAGGAAATGCAAGTTAATAATAATTTAACCTTGCAGTAATTTCTTCAAGATTATGGACTATTTAATAGTTTATAAGATAGGGTCGATAAATTGTGTCAAACTTATAAAGTAAAATTCTAAAAACTATTCAATTTGTAAGTGCAACATTGATAATGTTAAAAGAAGTGTCATGTAAACAAAAATTGTCTAATGTACTTTTAATTTAAAAAGGACCATTTTATACTATAAACACATATTAAAATTAAAAAATGGACTTACTTTATTAGACATTTTGTAGCTAATTGATTTGTTTTGACATTTCTATTCGTAGTGAGGTAGCCATGACACAACTGTTATGCCCTTTCTCCAATATGTTCCTAAATCTGTGTCTGCGTCGGTTGCTATAGCAACACATGCTAAAGGCCTTTCTCCAATGGGTTCCTAAGGGCGGTATTCATAGTCCCGACTTAAGCAAGGACTTAGGGTGCAATCCCATGTGAGCAGAATTCGTCGACCGAAAGCAGAAAATCATGAGAGTGAAAAGAACAACAATATCTACCTATCTCTTTTGCACTCGTGATTTTCTGCTTTCGGTCGACGTATTCTGCTCACATGGGATCGCACCCTTAGGGTGGAGTCCCATGACAGCGTTTTGCGTTGCGTCGTAATGGGAGAGAAAAAGACGCAAATATACGTTTGCTGCATTCTCTCTCATTACAACGCAACGCAAAACGCTGCCATGGGACTGCGGCCTTAAGGCGCTTGCACACTTCCAAATTTTTAGGCGAGCAGCGAATTTTCACGGCCTTGAAATGCACATTACTAAATATGACTGGCTCTGACAAAAGTACATTTTCACGCAGCTTTTTGTAGAGCCAATCATATTTAGTAATGTGAGTTTCAAGGCCATGAAAATTCGCTGCTCGCCCAAAATTTTGGAAGTGTGCAAGCGCCTTTAAGCTTTGCTTGATCCTAATCGCCAAGTTGTCGAATGATCAAATAGTCGAATGCCAAGTAATCGAATGGACAAAACGTCGAATGCTAAAAACATCGAATCGGCATTTAGTCGAATGCTTAAAACATCGAATTGTCAATACGTCGAATGTTCAAAACGTCGAATTATCAATTCGTCGAATGTTAAAAATATCGAATCGTCAATATGACGAATGTTCAAAACGTCGAATTATCAATTCGTCGAATGTTAAAAACATCGAATTGTCAATACGTCGAATGTTCAAAACGTCGAATGATAAAAACGTCAAATGCTAAAAACATCGAATCGTCATGTAGTCGAATGCTAAAAATATCGAATCTTCAGTTAATCGAATGCTAAAAACATCGAATTCTCAATTCGTCGAATGTTCAAAACGTCGAATGTTTAAAACGCCGAATGCTAAAAACATCGAATTCTCAAATCGTCGAATGCTCATGTGACGTATGTGCATGATACGCTCCTTTCCCAATAGAGGCAGCACTTAATGCGCGGTTTAATTCAAATAATTAAACATAAATTAACGCAACCAACACATTATAATTATTGAGATTTCTATATAATTCAAATTATTGGCAAGCAACATGGGCAAATCGACCAAATATTTTCTCACGATAAAATCCTGAGTGGAACGAATCATAAAATTGAATACAATAAAGCATGCAGTAGAGGTGACGAAACTTAATCCCTCACAATAAATATTTTTGGACTTTTTAGAATATAACGTTAAATTAAAGTACATGTTTTACTTATTTGTCACGTTTTAGAAATTCTTATTTTATAGTTTTATTGCTTCTTAAAGAAACTCGAGTAAATCGCTCATCTGGTTACCATAAAAACCTAAGAGCCCTTTTTGCCTGGGTAATAAAAAAGGGGACACTATTGTTTCGTAATCCCTACTGCATAGACGAGTTAGTAAAAATCTGAAACACCCTCTTTTTCCGCCTTTTTGGGTTTTTCCACTTTTTAGCGAATCAGACATAAATAGGCGTATATATGTATTCCTTCCTGGCACTCGTGGGGGGGGGGCAAAGGCCCCCAGGATGGGACCGTACGGTCTTGGAGAAAACAGATACTGTTCTACCTCGAAAGTATTAACAAGATATGTTGAGAGATTAAAGGCGCTCTCACAGCTAGTAGGCAGCATATAAATTTGAATTTACTGTCTCTTTCACTCTAATTGATTTTCTCTCTTACTCCAATTACTGCCTGCGCAGGCAGGCAGAGCTGTGAGAGCTCCATAAGAATAAAGTTAATATAGTATGAATTTAGAAGTTTCATTTAATCACCAATAATAATAATTTTTAACTTGTATTTTTCGCTAAGCAAGCAGTAAAGTATTCATATCACCGCGGAAGTTGAGCTTCTTAGCTCTTTATTGTGGAAACGAACTTTCATCGTCGAGGATTCCGCTTTGAATTAAACTCTAATTATAAAATCAAAGTAGTGTTAAATTTCTAGTAAAAGTTTGAATTTTTAGAATTTTACCGCGCAAACTGACTCGGCGCGTCACAGGTGAATTTTGGTGTCAGAAGTGGGATTCCGCAAACTTTCCGCGAGTGATTTACGGAACATTATTGACTGGAAATTATAAGCGTAGTGCGGAAATCGTGTAAGACATTTTAATTAATCGAACTGTTTCAACGAACTATTTTGACGTGAATAAAAATTGAATTTCCTCTTGAGTACGTGGTGGATGAAGTAGCTTCCGAAAAAAAGGTTTGAATTCAAATTTAAAACTGAAGGAGGCTGGAACCGGAAGAAGATGGACTGGAACGAGCTGCTGGACCGAAGGAGACTGGGGACCGGAAGGCATTGCTGATGGACGGTGACGAGGACAACGAGACGACGAAAGGTGCAGCCACGACTTCCTCAAAGGTTTTTGGCGGGTTTTTAAACCTAGAGGCTAGAGGTACGGTCAACAAGTACCTGGGTCGCAAAAGGTGATTCGAGGATCCCGCAGATATCCCCTTGAGTCACTGCAGGCTGATAAATCATCATCGAGGAGCGGATTGCTTCAGACTCGTAATACAGGAATATTGAACTGAAGAGATTGATCCGCGAGTGCCATAGTTAGTGTATTTAGTGACAATAAATTTTACAATGAAATAGGTTAAGTGTTTGAAGAGTGTATAGTGTACCGCCTTATATACGATCAATCAGTCATCGAGAACCTCGAAATGGTAAGTCGATTGCCCATTGTTAATGTTGCGAGCCAATAATAAATTAATCTAATAAAATATTTCAAGTCGATAAGAGAAAAAATAATATATGGTTGTCAGAGTTTGAATTAATGTTTTAATGAAATAATACAGTTAATAAGTATTTGCAAAATTTATGCAGTATGTGTGAGCGGGTATATAAATAAACAAATAAATTATATTTGAAGAGTATGATCCTTATTATCGGAATTTATACAAAGGTCTTAAAAAGAGTAATATTCTAAATTGTAGAATTAAAGAGTTAACTTATAAACGGTCTCTGAGGTTAAATAAGTAGATCAATTTTGAAAATAAATTATTTCGTTAAAATTAATAATTTATAAAAATTTAGATAAGATGCTTACTTGTAATGCAACTAACAAAGACGCGAGAATCGGTACCTTACGGAAAAAATTAACGGGACAACGAGGTTATAATATTAGTGATCGGAAAATTTTTAATTTAAACGGTTGGCGACATAATCGATTCTGATATGGAAAATTACGAAGTAAATGAAATCAAAATAGTGTGCTTTCTGTATGCTTAAATGTGAAATCCGGGAAAATGGTTATCACAATCCACCAGTATATTTTCCTCCGCGTCGAACCCCTGATTCTAGAGAAAATGGTTGTTAGTAAATTAATAGAAATCGGTTATTGTCTGGATACGAGAAACTTGATTACCGTAAAGAATCAAATGCATTTGTTTAGTGGGCAAATCAAAATTATCAGTAGAGTAGTCTAGAGTCAATTAAAGGCTTTTGCCACAACGGCACAGCGTGAAAATGAAAAGTTTCACTGTTTGGTCACAGTGGAAAGAAACTCTTATTTTCAGCCATGAACGGTAACTTAAATTTAGATGCAACATTTTTAAGACAGCCTTTGTTAAATTTCAAATCCTATTTTGCTGAATTTAAAGTATACTGATTATCAGTAGAGAACGTGCTCAATTTGAAGCAATCATGTTAAAATCAGCAGTTGTGTACATAATAAAAAAAAAAATTTAGAACTGTAAATTCAGATTGTCTATCCTTATTTTCACACGATCCGAGCTTAAATTAAGACTGTCATTACTTTCAAGACTTGTTTATAATTTCAGATAGTTCTTAAAATATGATTTACTTTTACAGTAGTCTTCGTGCTAATAAAATTCTCGCGAATATGATAGATTTAATTGAGGATGAAATAGCACTTCAGATTGTTCCTCCCTTTATAAAATCTGTTTGGGAAATGGCATTAAAATGTTTTGTTATGAGTTTAAACTAAGATTTAATTCTACGAGTAAAAATAGATAAATCTTCGAATCTACATAAATGGGAGGGCGAGCTGGAAAATTCGCCGCGCAAAATTGTAGAAACTAGAATCACGGTAACGACAGATCACAACCATCGAAGGAAAATGGAAATAGATATTCGATTAATGACAACAATCGTCGGTATTTACTTTGAATGGTTACAGCGAGAATCGTTCGTAGCACGTACGATTCTTTTCGAAAAGTGTTGTAAATTCACTAGAGAAATTTTTGAGACTTGAGAAAGAAAAGGTTATTCAGTACGGTTTTCGAATAAATAAAATTTTGTTAATTTAACGCTTTTAGTCGCACATTTTTCATTTTCTAAAATAAGACAAATAAAACAAAACATTCGGACAATGAATAAGAATAATTATTTACTTTAACGTTTTGAAATCTAAATGATTTCTTCTTTAGGGAGTAATTTGTCAATAAGATAAAAAAAAAATAATAATTGGTCGAATTAAGTAAAAACATATTACTAATAGAGTCCTTACAATGAACAGTAATTGAATAAGATAGAAAAACAAATAAAAACAATAAATTGAATAAGAACAGAGAATGAAACACAATTTCTTTATTTTTCAATAAAATGTAATTTATTTTGAATACATGTTTGAAAAGAAAATTAGGCGCTTCTTACCTCTTACTGTATAAGTACAGAAATAAATTTTCTGAAAAGGTACTTATTTCAATTGACGTAGTATTCGTTCTCAAATGATTTTTATTTAAAATAATTTCGTTGTTAACTCTCAGCAATTGTTTATCTATTTTTCACTTGTTATGATTATATAATAGTGAAAATCCAAAAAAGCTATTTTTGTTAATAAAAGACCAATAAAAGAAAAATTTATAAAACTAGAAAAATTAGGTAGGTCACTGAGAAATACAGCATTACTCAAAGGTTAATAAAATTGATTGAGGATGAATATAGCGCGAAAACGAGGACTCCCGATTTTTTTAAAACATTCCGGAAAATAGCACGCGATAGTTTTATAATGGGCTTTAATAAAAAATTAATGTTAAAGTGAGTTGAATAATTATTTTAACAGAGAAGTTTCCCCTTTAGGAAACAACTTTGCGAAAAAAAAAAAAATAATAAGTCAAGTTCGAAAAGGGATTTAATAGAAAAATCGATGAACCTCAAGAAAACGCGAAAAATCACCCGAGAATAAATATCAAAGAAAATGAAATATTCTATTTGTTCCCTATAACAATGAGCACGTGCGTAAGAAAATTTGCCGCGAAACCTTCCAAGAAATCGAAAGAAATGAAAATAAATAAAACCCGACGATAATGATGATAGTTGCTTTTACTGCGGTAAAAGGGGCACATTGCTCGTAATCATTGAAAAACGCGAATGTCAAAAGATTGTCATAAAAGAAATCGGACGAAAATAAAGATGACAAAACGGGCGACGACGACGGACTTGTGCAATGCGATGCACCAATTAGACAGGTTATCATACCCTTCGAAACGTTGAAAACAACTTTCTTTTAGTGTCACTATTGTTAGTGCTGATCCTGAATACGGTTAAATTCAATTCCTTCACTGTGAAAATTGAGTCTTGTTTGAGCTTGATTTTAAATAAACCAACTTATACTATTCTAAATATTAACTAAATTTCAGATTGGTAAATTGATTTTAGGACCGACTACTGTCTTATTTTTAAGCCAAAAATAAGTTGAATTCAAGAAAGTACGTTTGAGCTGCGAGTACCCTATAACGTTGTTTTACAGTATTGTTAATACACGAGATGAATTAAATTTTGTTAAGTAATCTAGTTTAAATGAAGAAAAACTTCAATAAATCCAGAAATAAAATATGATCTATTTCTTATTATTAAACAAGGCCTATCAACTATCGGTGAAGTACATTTTAAAATAAATAAAGTTTCTTCTTCTTTTCAAAATATTTTGAGTGATGTTCTGTAGACTGTGATGGCATGTTAAGTATGCCTTTTCTGTCCAATTCCACGATCGATCTGGAAAGAAAACGGTTAAACATAAATTAAGAGGATTAATTTCGTTAATCCTTTCGTTAAATTGCTACAACACTCGGTAGAAAAGATATTAAGCAAAACATAACATTACGTGTTGTAGAGCAAATGCGGAAATACTTTCATGAAATTCAATTGACAAAAGATGTAAAGTAGATACAAAAAGGACCAACAAGAGTAGAGTGAAAAATGTTATTGACATTAAAGACAGTTCAGACAGTAAGAAATTAAATTCTATCATGAGTATCCATTAAAGAGTGTTTTCCTGATTTATGCTAACAAGACTAACGTTAGCATAGTTAGCAAAGCTCGAAGTGGGGATACTCCTGTTAGAAAACTACTAACGAAACGTATAACGGAGACACGCAATTCGAAATTGCGATAGAGATTTGTGATTTTGCAATTCTTGTAAATTTCGGAAGAGATATGGTGGAGAAAAAGGTAGATGCATATGCCTTGGGCGGCTCCGGTTCGCACCATTACCCTGCATTCGTCTCAGAATTTTCCAAAGGCCACGGAAAATTGTTGACAAATGTAGCCTGGTGTCAGATCCGCTGGCCCACATCCCCTATCTTATTTCCAATGGTATGTGTAAGACGAGCCATGTGGGGTCGCATCAAGGAAAGGAAATACTTGCGAGTTTTTTCCTGAGTGCTGTAAGACCGGCGCTATTGAGAGCTCCGGCAAGCGAATGTGTAAGACCGGTGCTATTGAGAGCTCCGGCAATGGTATGTGTAAGACGAGCCATGTGGGGTCGCATCAGGGCAAGGAAAATTGCAAAATTTTCCGAACCCAGCATTGCTCTAAACTTGTGTTGTGAGCTGTTGATTGTCGATGAAAGTGACGATGACGTGTTAAATGACATTGACAGTTGTTACTTGAAGGGTATCCGGGACGATATTTTGAACATCCCCCGACGAAACAGATGATGACATTGATAATGACGAAAGAAAAGAAAAATCGATTAAAAGTTAGTGAAAGTTTTCCGCAGGAGCTACGAAAATATACCATGCTGGTATGAATTCAAGAAATTTTATTTTAACTCCTTTGTTCGAGTTATAAGTAGAGATAAAGTTGGACGAGAATCGATAATTTTATTAATTTTGTTCGTACGAAAGTGTTGTAACAAATCAAATGGAAATAAAATTTTACTCACTTTTTGCTGTAAAGAAGTAAAATCAGTTATGCGATTAAGTATCATAAGCCTGAAAGAAAGAAATTAATTATTGAAAGCATCTCCGACAAATTTTGTAGTAAAGCGTGTTCATGTCCTCATCGCAAAGTAATAGATAGAAACACGTGTACGCTATACGGTTGTAATTGTTTATTTTTAGTACTATTAATCAAGCGATAGAAAATTTTATGCAGTATGAATATAAACAAAATTTGCATATATATTTGATTAATAAATATACGACAATGTTAAATTTTGACACTTTTCCTTAGGATACCTCAGAGAAATAGAAAAGTTATTTAAGTTTAAAGATCTCTATATTTAAAGAAATTTTAAATTCTACTTATCCTTTTTGCTCGAAGAGTCAGAGCAGGTAAAAAAAAACGTCGAGTATCTTTGCAGAACTTGTTGAAATACATATATTATTGAACCTGTAATGTAATGAACGAAAACAATTAAGACCTTTTATCATCTTGTTAAAGTAAAATTATGTATTATAAACTCGAAATTTTGTTGCAGCAACAAACAAGAAAATTATAAGAAAGAAAAAGTAACGTTAGAATTGAAACGACACGCGTTTTACGAGAATGTATACGTATGAGTATGTGTGTATAAATAATAAAAACTGTAAAATTGATAAATTAACTTTGAAAGAAGAGAAGTTAAATTTTAATAAATAACAAAATATTATAATACCTATGAAATTTGTCGTGTTAACATTTTTAGATAAAGAGTATCAAGTGAACGAATTATAACAATCATGAAATAAAGTTTAAACATTTATAGCAGAAAGAAGTTCCTTTTCTCAAATCTTAACAAAATAAAAAATTTGCCATCACTCTTATTCATAACTAGCTGCCGTATTCGTCTTCAAAAGAAATAATATTCATGAATTTTACGCTTTTATAACTACACGCATAACTATTTGTGTGTTTCAAAATTATGTGTAGGAATGCAGATTTTATTAAAGATTAAAGAAACATTTAAACGAAAGGTAATTGAAATATTGTTGTAGAAAATTAAAATATGGTTTTGTCTTACAAACTCGAATTTATTATTTATTTTCACTTTTATTATGGAAATGAGTTTTGAATTTATCTCAAAATTTGTTACAGATAGAGTCAATTAATGTATCAAAATTGAAATATGCAATTTGATTTTTCGTATTTTTAAAAGTGCTATAACTTCTATTCAAGTATTATTAGTATTATTTTTGATTGAACATGTCTAAGATTTTAAGTCACGACAATGGCTAACAAACTATGAAGATCCACTTTGGTCATTCAAATCGTTTCATAAAAAATATTAACAATAGACAAATAAATGGACGAACAAACAATTTTCTACAGTCCTTTAATTAATGGGTTAAAACGAAAAAAAAAATGTGTGAAATTTCTCGAGTCTTGTGTAAAGTCCTGATAGAAGACAAATTTATAAAAATAAATTAAATTAAATTAATAAATATAATTAAAATCTTGTTTAACCGCAATCTATCAAAAGCAGAGGCGAAAAATATATGCATATTTTTGTCGTATATTATAGTCATTATTGAAATTTTAAATTAAATTGCGACTTGGTGACTTTAATTTTACGGTTACGAAAATATAGCAATATTCAATTAAAATGCAAATAATTTTAAATGTTTTGATTTTTGGATTTTCTAAACAAAAGAGTTTGATTTCTCCCGTTCTAATTAATAATTTTAAGTATGTAACGGTATAAATTTTCCCTAAGTGACTGCCTAACATTAACAAATTCTATTCAAATTTGTCCCGGCGTTTGTGTGATTAAAGTACAGAGATTTTGCGACAGACAAATATATTTATTAATTATATTAGCATTTCTGAAATCGTTAGTATTTTGAAAGAAGTATTCATGGTAGAATTTTCAAGTTTCAGCAAGGCACAAACAGAAGTCCGTTTTTATTTATATGGATAGATAACTATTTTATATTGTCCACTAAAATAATGTTATTTTTATACATTAACCAATAATTATAGAATCTGAAGAAAAGGAAGTTAATCTAAAAATGATTGACAAAATTCGCATTTATGATTGTTATAACCGATCTCTTCTTCAAAAATACTCCAATAAATGTAATTGAAGCACATTTCCAATTCAATATTTAAATTAAAAGAAACTAAGAAAGATTGACGTTTAATTCATTAATTGCTAAATAATTACAAACAAAACAATGTGAGTTACTTACCATAACTATATATGTCGACGTATATACGGATATTTATGAATTGCAAATAAACTCTTAAATTTCACAACAGGATGAATGTTTTATGTGAACACTATATTTTCCATTACACATACGAAATTGTAACTATATTTCGTTTAATCTACGTGTTGTTAATTACTTTAATTATAAAAAGACATCTTATAAAAGAATGCCTTTTTATTAAGGAGGGAAGTGTGACGTATGTGCATGATACGCTCCTTTCCCAATAGAGGCAGCACTTAATGCGCGGTTTAATTCAAATAATTAAACATAAATTAACGCAACCAACACATTATAATTATTGAGATTTCTATATAATTCAAATTATTGGCAAGCAACATGGGCAAATCGACCAAATATTTTCTCACGATAAAATCCTGAGTGGAACGAATCATAAAATTGAATACAATAAAGCATGCAGTAGAGGTGACGAAACTTAATCCCTCACAATAAATATTTTTGGACTTTTTAGAATATAACGTTAAATTAAAGTACATGTTTTACTTATTTGTCACGTTTTAGAAATTCTTATTTTATAGTTTTATTGCTTCTTAAAGAAACTCGAGTAAATCGCTCATCTGGTTACCATAAAAACCTAAGAGCCCTTTTTGCCTGGGTAATAAAAAAGGGGACACTATTGTTTCGTAATCCCTACTGCATAGACGAGTTAGTAAAAATCTAAAACACCCTCTTTTTCCGCCTTTTTGGGTTTTTCCACTTTTTAGCGAATCAGACATAAATAGGCGTATATATGTATTCCTTCCTGGCACTCGTGGGGGGGGGGGGGCAAAGGCCCCCAGGATGGGACCGTACGGTCTTGGAGAAAACAGATACTGTTCTACCTCGAAAGTATTAACAAGATATGTTGAGAGATTAAGAATAAAGTTAATATAGTATGAATTTAGAAGTTTCATTTAATCACCAATAATAATAATTTTTAACTTGTATTTTTCGCTAAGCAAGCAGTAAAGTATTCATATCACCGCGGAAGTTGAGCTTCTTAGCTCTTTATTGTGGAAACGAACTTTCATCGTCGAGGATTCCGCTTTGAATTAAACTCTAATTATAAAATCAAAGTAGTGTTAAATTTCTAGTAAAAGTTTGAATTTTTAGAATTTTACCGCGCAAACTGACTCGGCGCGTCACACTCAAATAGTCGAAACGCCATCTGTTCGAAATGTCAAGTAGTAGAATGGTAAAGTAGTCGAAACGCCATCTGTTCGAATTGCCAAGTAGTAGAATGGTAAAGTAGTCGAATGTTCAAAACGTCGAATGATAAAAACGTCGAATGCTCAGAACATCGAACTGTTAATTCGTCGAATGCTCAAAACGTCGAATGCTCAAAACGTCGAATGATAAAAACGTCGAATGCTAAAAACATCGGATCGTCAAAAGTTCGAAAAAGTTCTTTGTTTTAAGTTAATGCTTTAAGTTATGCTCCTGCACTTTCGATTGGTCAAGTAGCTCTGTTACAAAGTGTAATTAATGAATATTTAAATTTAAGAATAGAATGCTTTCCAATGGTGCCACTTAGACCAAAACACCACTTCATAGCACATTACCCATCTTTAATAGAAGAGTTTGGCCCATTAAAACATGTTTGTACACTTAGAGGGGTGAGAGCAAACATCAATTCTTTAAAAGCCTTATAAGGCATACATGTCATGTTTTCATACATTCGATGAAGATTCAGTAAAAGCATTTGATGCTGCAGAATTTAATTTAGAAAATTTTCAGAAGTCTTTTGCAGAAGTAATAAAATCTTTTATGAAGTCCAACAATACATTCTATTATGTGGCATCAAAAATTTCTTTTCGCGGTATAAATTATTGCGAAAATATGAGTCTCTGTGTTGGTGTATGTGAAACGGGCAATTTTCGAGTTTTGAAAATAAAACATATTTTATTTAATAAAAGGTGTGACACACTTTATTTCGTTGGTTTCACAAATGAAATTGTTGAAAATGATCAACTCGGTATCTTTGAAATTAAGAAAAAAGGAAATGATTCAAATTTATCCATTGTTCCCTATTCCTCTTTGTTTTTCTACTTTTTTCTTGTTTGTTTTTGAAAACAAACCTGTTGAAAATTCCGACGTCGTAAACTACGTTGTACATGACGCCGTAAACGACATTATCGTATCGACGTCATATATCACGTAGTATACGACGTCGGAAACGAAAGCGGAAATTGGGATAGTGAATGACGTAGTATACGACTTCGTAAACTACGTAGTAAACGGCGTAGCAAACGACGTCGTTTACGGTGTGGCGAAAATGATTATTCTAATATTATTTAATAAATACGTGAAAAAAGCAGTTATTATATAGAATAAAAATTATTTTAATTAAAATAAAATCATACATCATTTCTAAAAGGTCAAATTCCTAATTGACAATAAATAAGACGTTGTTTTCATATTCAAATTATTTTTCATTAATATAATATAAAATATCTTTTTTAACATTATGTAACTCATGAAAATCCTTTAGAAGAACAAGTATAACAAGTTAATAAATATACACTGAAAAAAAAATTTATTTGATTCAAATAATTCAAATTATTTGAAAAATATTTATTTGATTCAAATACTTTTTAGTTGGATCAAAAAAATATTTATTTGATTAAAATAACTTGAATTATTTGAATCACACTTATTTGAACCAAATAAATCGTATTTGATTCAATTAAATAATTAATTAAATTGAATAAATGAATTTGTGTAATACAAATAATGAGTTACTTGAAACTATTCTGCCGTCCTTTTTAAAAAAGACACTATCTACATTTTAGCTCAATCGGAGATATTGAAGGAAACGCGTTAGCATCCCGTGTAGAAAAATTTCGTGGCGCTAGCTAGCAGCGCTAGACTGTATGTAAATTTACCATGTATCTAGCACTGCTAGCTAGCGCCAAGAAATTTTTCTACACGGGATCTAGATCTCTTAATAAAATTAAAAATTTTGTAAACAAACTTATGTTCTTCACTAATTCGGACACGCTCTTTTCATTGCTGCAAAAAAATTATTAATTTTAATTATTTATTAATAAAACTGTAGATAGTGCACATATTTTATCCGAAAATTATGGAGAATACATGAAAAGTGCACTATGTGGTAGATAGTACCTACGTTTAAAATTGCTTTGTCCGTCCACTTTCCTGTTTAAAGCGTCACTATCTACATTATTTTCTAACACAATCCTTTATTTCTGTTATATTTTCATTATTATTTTATATTTTATTTTATTTATTATTATATTATATTTTTTAATTTTGAAAATACCGAACGAAAAATCACGAACAATAGAGGGGCTGATAGTAAAAATGGTTTATAATAATAATAATAATAATAATAATGGGAGCAAAAGTAGAATAAGTGACTTGAGAGAAAAAACGGGTTAAAATGATTATGTAATTTCTTGATAAATTAATTATATTAATGCTTAAAAAATATTGTCAATAATAAAAAAACTTATTTTATTTGAATTCATATTTTGTAATTATAATAATTAATTTATCAAGAAATTACACAATCATTTTAATCTGTTTTTGCTTCTAAGTCACTTATTCCACTTTTGCTCCCGTTATTATTTTAAACCATTTTTACTATCAGCCTTTCAATACATAAATTTTATTTAGCTTTACAACTTTATTTTATTTGATTATTATGTTCTGCATTAAAGTTTTATTAAATTAAATGTTAACTTTACAAAAAAAAATAATTAAAATTGTTTTTTAATTTGCATTAAATATATGTGTTAATACAAAATAAAAGCTTTATTTGCAAATTATTTTATTATTTTTATTTTATTTGCATAATTAAACTTGTAGATAGTGCTCTCTCTCGCGGAAAGTTAACCAAAGTTCGAGAAAAATATGTACGAACTAGCTGTCGTACCCGTCTTCGACGGGTTTTAGTTTCTACTAATATATTTGAACATGTGTCTACCAATTGGGAATTTAATTTGACTGGGAAAAACTAATAATTAGTTACCATTAACTATTTCATTATCAAAATATTACCATTTGAATCAGTAAATGACTTTTTCTATCAAATACTATTTTTAACTAATTCAGATTTACAGAACAGTATTTGTCAATTTGTAGTACTTTATGCGTTCGTAGTATTTTAATTAATGCATTAATAATTAATACTAATTTTCCACCAGCTTTTGGAGTTATATAAGAGTCTAATTCGAACTAATTGTATCGCAAGTAGGCCCCACGTTACGACTGCTAAAATCAAAAATAAGACCTATATATTGTAATCTGAAAGTAGGTCTTAAATTTTGACAAATAAAAATATTACATCAATAGAAATTAAAGCAAAAACAATTTTTTAAAAATGAATTAATATAATAAAACTTTTTTTAATTAGATAAGAAAATTCCCGATTTTTCTAGTCGAATTAAATTCCCGGCTATTTCTCGGGATACCTTTGCGATTAATATAGACACTCTGTTAAATGTATTAGTAGAAATTATAACATGTTTTTGATTCCCACATGGGAAATCTACATGGGATCCACTTTTATAAAGGAAACCATATTGATTCCTATGTAAAACCGTATGGTATAATTTTTCCATATCCCTATTAAAAATTTCCACATGGGATTTTACATTTTACCCGTTTTTGCGTAATGCCCGAATAGAATTTTGGAAAGCAACAACATACCCCAAACATTTCTAAAATTCAAGAAGAACAATTTTAATTCATAAATAGGAATTTGTTATTTATTTTCAAAGTCATTTCTAAAACATTTCTTGAATTCAAAAAAAAGAAAATTTTGATTCATAAATCCCAATTCATAAATCTTAAGGACTTTCTGTGTCCCAGTGCCCGCTGAAGACAAATTTCAGTATTACACGGAGAAAATTTGTTCCCTATATTTTACCGAATTTTTCAATAAAGTTGGGATATAGTAGCATAATCGTAATTTTTAATAATTTTTATATTATTTTTTCGGTAACAATATTTAAAATCTAATGTGATATCTTTATTCCTTAAGAACTAGTACTGTAAAATTTGAAAAAAAATTGAAACTGAACGTTTAATGTAAATTAAATAAATACCTCCTTGATGGGCACTAACGTTTCAGGAATAGTTCGGTAAAACTTTCTTGACTTGCCTAAAGTGTTAGTTTTCAGGAATAGTTCGGTAAAACTTCCTTGACTTGCCTAAAGTTTTAGTTTTCTGGATTGAAATACTTTATTTCAAGTGTCCCGCAGTCAAATGAAAGACTTTCACACTAATAGTTGATTTTTCCAACTTATTTAGACTTAATTAATAATCATTTTATTATTATTTAAATTAAAATTCAATTAATTAATTATTTTAAACACTTATTAATTGCCAAATATGTAATAAATGCTTTTAAATAATGTAAAAAGAAAATATAAAACGGCAATAACATACTTATTTTTTTAACATAAAATTTATTCATTTTAATTAAATATGAATAATAGTAAGTAAGTAAGCAAGTAAACATAAGTAAGTAAGCAAAAAGGAAATAACTTGCTTGCTTACTAGCTTACTTTCCTTCTTGCTTACTTTGCTTACTTGCTTATTTCTTTCTTGCTTACTTGCTTACCTACTTATTTGCTTACTTCCTAATTTCCTTCTTGCTAACTTGCTTGTTTTCTTTCTGCTTACTTACTTCCTTATATGCTTACTTGCTTACCTTCTTATTTCCTTCTTGCTTACTTTGCTTACTTGCTTATTTCCTTCTTGATTACTTACTTTCTTATTTGCTTATTTCTTTCTTGCTTACTTTGCTTACTTGCTTATTTCTTTCTTGCTTACTTCCTAATTTCCTTCTTGCTTACTTGCTTGTTTCCTTTCTGCTTACTTACTTCCTTATATGCTTACTTGCTTACTTTCTTATTTCCTTCTTACTTACTTTGCTTACTTGCTTACTTTGCTTACTTGCTTATTTCCTCCTTGCTTACTTTTCTTACTTGCTTATTTCCTTCTTGATTACTTACTTTCTTACTTGCTTATTTCCTTCTTGCTTACTTGCTTGCTTCCTTTTTGCTTACTTACTTCCTTATATGCTTGCTTACTTTCTTATTTCCTTCTTGCTTACTTTGCTTACTTGCTTATTTCCTCCTTGCT